AGACTGCAAGGATGATTCTGTACCGTAGATTCTGGCGAAATGCACGACCTTTTTCCGTCTCCATCACCCATGAAAGGTTTTTAGTGGACAGACAGTCACCTCATGTGTATGATGGTCCGACTGTACCAATGACACCCTGTCACGAACACGCGGCCATAAGTACACAAGGACGCTTGGCTGGTTTAACGCTAGTAAACTGTCATGTCTATTGTCTCCCGTCTTCTCTCGCCGTTAACTAAGTTGCTACAGGTTCTTGATGTTGAAAAGAGAATCGAGAAATGGCTGAGGAAACGCGATTTACCTTGTTCAAATCTGTCAAGGCATGCTGGACCCAACTACCGATTTCTGACGTGTATCCGAGTTGTTTTAAACGGTGAATTACAGTCGGGTTGTACACATTCAGTCTTCCAGTGATGTCTTCAGTAGTTACCCGTGGATCGTGACTTTCTAGATCAGAGGTGAAGCTATCATCAATACTGGGAGGTCACCCAGAGCGACTTTTATTGATTAGACTGAGGTCCCCAATTTGGAATCGACTAGACCACAAGCGCGATCAAACTGATGACAACGAAAACGACAGTACATTACTGACGCACAGTTTCTTTAAAATGGTCCGTATTTCCAATTTGCCATTCTGTGGAAATGTCGGGAACACAGAAAAGGTAATTTTAATCATTCGGATTTACCGTATCTACTTGTCCAAGTAGAAGCCTTTTTGAATTAACAACTTCCGAAAGGATTACCACTCCAAAGAATCAGGTGAACATTACACCCCACTGCCACCACCATTTCATAAGTACTAAGTCAACAAACAGAGTGTTGTGTGTACTGAGTAAGTACTTTTGGTAAGACGCCTCAAATGTGTGAACTAGTTGGTGTGGGACCTGACAAGGCTTTGTTCTGCTAATGAAAATCAAGACGATGTTCTTTATGGCCCACAGATTCGTCTGTTTTAACTCGCGACCATTGCATCGGCTTGTTTTAATGAGTAAAATCGTCGCATATACCAAAATCACTTTTGTTATTTTTGAAAATGGACAATTTCGTGATGGAAACAGCACGCAAGGTACCCAATCGGTAGCTATAAATGTAATTATTTGGATAACAACACTAGGTTTTGTTAGTTTTCAGAAAAGGTGTGTTCTCTCTACATTTTAGCCAAAATAGTAATTGTCGACATCCAGTCGCGTAGTTAACGCTGTAGGCAACACTATTGAGCGAGAAAAAATCGATAAATCGCACGGAAAATTTAAAAGCGGCGATATCGATCACGAACTAACAGCCAATTGCAGTGAAGGAAAGAGGAGATAGATAAAGCGGTTTCGGAATAAACGAACTGTGCCCAGATTCACGGGAACAACGTGTGGATGAAGCATGGAGTAGTGAAAGAACAGAATTTGTGAAATGTTGGAAAGAAGTCATGACAAACGACGGTGAATTAATGGGCTCACGTCTCAACGTCTCAAAGATGTTATGCTGGCAGCCGCTATCGCTGCTTGAAGTAGTACTCCTGTCCAGGCATTAGTCGCATCGATTTGTCAAATGTTGCACCTTGTCATCAACTGTCACATTTTTCTAAAAGAAGTCCTTTTTGTTGCCAGCACGTGGTCATACGTTGACCCACGTTTTGTTCGGTCAACACATGTGGGGAGACCCAACGTCTACGCTTTCTCATTTTTCCCATTTGGTGGTGCAAATGCTTTGAAATGTCTGTGTGGAAGACTCCTAACTGAGCTGCTGAAAGCTCCTTTTGCGTTTGTGTCATGTCTTCAACCAGTAGAGCTTGCGGTCCCTCATCTTCCTACTTTTGACGCTACTGTTCACCACATTTAAAACGTTTGTACAGTTTCACAAGACACAACTATGGCACCAAGAACGCTAAAAATTGAATCCCCTGTGCTTTAGAAGCATCGTTTTTTCCTTGTTGGAATTCGTATAAAATGCAGTGCACCGAATGTGCTGTTTGTCAGTTGGCATCGCCGTAAACTCTGATGTTCTCAGAGGTTACGTAACTCACGTAGATTTGTCGTTCGATATTCTGAAACCTTGCGTTCGATGCTTTCAAAACCTCAAAAGACCGCGAAAATATTTCTATTTTCAATGCAATTTTATGCTCAAAGAAGTGCATCTGTAGAAACTTAGCGTCGATCACAACGTCGAGAACTGCAGTACATGCGCCGATTAATTTGTGGAAAGGAAAGTCGACGGCGTTTGACTGATATTTAAGCGATAATTGACTGCTAGCCAAAACAAGCACATATCTGTTCATACAACGTTCCGAAGCACCATTTTTAAAACAGGTCGAATTAGTAATGACAGTTTACGAACGATTTGGCCAATTCTGACGTAGTGTCAGACCGGCCAACAGAACCGTGGAAGAATACAGAAGACTAGCATCATTTTGAAAATGAACATCTTTCACCAGCTTTTGTCACGAACGTAATTGGAGATAGCGGAACTGGAGTCATGTAGACATGATGCAAACGAAAACTACTAAAGCCGGTCGAAAAGTGTGGGTTCCAGGGCGACAGACGGCACCTATTTACTAATGCAATTGTCCTTTGTTTTATCCAATTAAAGATCGCCATTTCTTTCGTGTATTTTTAATGTTCTCCTCTTTCCGCCGCTCTGATTATGGGCTAATAGCCAGCTCCGAAAAATCGCCAATCCTCTGGCATCAATTCTCAAAATACCACCACGAAGTGACGTACCAGTTGCATTTCACAGGGCCGTGTGCTTAAAAAAAATGTTTACATTAGTCAGACCCCATCTCTAAAACAAAACTGACCACAGAGAAAGTTGTCAACACCACTCCAACATCAAACACAACGCAACGTGTTCAGTTTACGTGGTCTTCAGTTCCGACTGCGTCTAAAGAATATGGCATACATTCCACGACGGTGAATTTAAACACATTTTTGGCGCGGAAATTTGCAACTAGTTATCTATAGTTCCGACGCTTCGAAGACTGATTTCACAGGCAACAATAGTGCCCTTTCCACTCCCTAGAGTAGCCAAGCTGCCCCCTTGTCATTTGGTCCGGCATTTTTTTCATAATTACTGCCATGGCTTACCAGTTACGTCATCAGTTCAATTAGATGAAGTCCAACTAACAGACATTGGCTTGACAGAGCACACTTTAGACCGCGAATGCGGCGAATTTGAAAAGAATTGACTAGAACGCGTAAACTCACTGATGTGTAGGAGGGATTATCGTCTCATATCAAGGTGACAAAATTGTATAAAATCGAAAGAACTCATTTGAACACGTTTAGTTTCTCTTAGAAAATTAGAATTTATACTAGTAATAAAAATGGATGTCAACCGAACTTTTCGTCTGTAGTAAAAGCATGAATGTGAGTATTTTGAGACGGACTTAAATGGACAAATGATTTGGCCAATATGGGAGGTAGTGCGAGTGAGAATGTGACGTTAAGAGGGCACTTAAACTTGTAAGGTGCTATTTTAGTTAAAGGAAGGTATGTGATAAGTAGCTTAACAGTGTAAACACAGCGAATTTCATATTTCATCATAACTAAATCGTTAGTTGCAAATTCCAATGCAGATTGCGATGCGAAAAAATACCACCAACCCAAGAACCTGAGCTAAATTGAATGGAAAAAATGCATTTAAGAGAGAAGGATTCTAGCTAATGGAAATGGCTTAAAAGCACTTCAATTTCCTAGGATCTTTCAGATTTCATTTAAAAGCTGTATTTATGTGCTGTAATTTATTAAAGTAAAATCCAGAATATGAAAGTGAACGTGGGGGTTTTCGAACATTTCTCGCGAGAGTACATGGTTTATTTATACCTAATTCGACATTCTAACTTTGTAAGAGAGTATCTTGATGATCATATTTGTTAAAGATAGTTTAGTACAGTGATAACTATAACTGAACGTTAAAAATTAAAACACTACAGGTTCGAATTTATGTGTGTGGTGGATTTAACATTCAGAACAGTAACCATGAGCCACAGAGAGCCACTCAATTTGCTGAAAAATAACGTAATTCCCCAAACCAATTAGGCAAATTATGCCTGTTTTGAGCTTTGAAATTGCATTCAGTCTAAAAACTACGTTGTATTAAACAAAAATACATTTCGTTCACTTTGCACTCATAAAAGGCGTACGAGCTGCATAAAACAGTTTTCGGAAACAACATGGCATTTTAAAAGTTGAAATTTAAGGAAGTGATTCCGTGAGCTGCTCCTCAACAACAATGATTCCATTTTGATGCTAAAGAAATATAGAAGACTTCATGCTTAGAATAGCCCAGCTTCGAAGTCAGCGACAGTTTTACTGAAAAACTATCCTGTCTTGTGTTAAAGAGCAACTGCACAATTACTAGTATGACTATCTATTAAACTGGAAACATGATAGTAAATTTCTTTTCGACCGAGTAAATTAAGCTAAAGCTAGAGTTTTAAATATATTGTAAATTACAAATCACATAAAATATGTTACAGTAATACAAAAATTTTAATCTTCCGATAAAGTTTCGATTTCATTTTACTTTTAGAAGTCAGTCAAGAAGGAAAATTGTAAATCTGGCAATCTAAAATATTTACACTCATTTTTCAAAGGTAGAATTGGACACATGATTGAACACTTCACAGGCTTCATTCTTGTTTTGTTACATGCCATTAGTGTTGGGCTTTTTAAAGTCAACAGGAGCTTTTTGGTGATGTCAGACTTTTCGGGCTATAAGGTTGAGATTGCTTCTAACCAACTGGGCACCATTGTCGGAACTGTTACCTCTTACAATGAAAACAAAATCGACCTGGTTAATGCCCTTGTTAATGGAAAGACTGTTCGCGAACCTCAGTATTCCGTAGAGTGGGTTTCATTTTCAGTTTCTTTATCATTGTACTTTCCTCACGTGCATTTTACCCTAATTTTATACTTTTTATTCCTTCATATGTTTTTGTTGGTGGTTTTAGATAATTGTAACTAATAGGGAATTGATGTCATCCCTATGCTTGTATGTCACACTTTGGCGAAGAAAACAGCGATTTTTTGTTGTACATTTTGGTCTAAATATAAAAGCCTGTACATGTAACTTACATTTTGATTAAATATGTTATATTTTAACAGTAATGGTGACCATTATAGGTTGTAATTTCTGGTGATTAATCAGGCCCAGTATTTCTTGCTGATTTGTAATAAGTGTTAAATCACCAGTTTGTTCTTATCTTGGTTTCAGTAAACAGTTTATAAGCCAACTACGGATAATCTCAACTCTAAATGCGCCATCTGGAGATAGTCAGGCCGCTGTCGGTGTTCACCAGAGTCCCTCTTCCCGTGACCTTCGACGCGACAAACTCCGTAACATTCCTGGTGCATGTACAGCCTACGTCTGCGACCGATCGCCTCCCCGCGTCATCAAAACTCCCAAAAGTCAACTGAGAGTGCACCACAAGAACCCTGACAACAGCCTTGAAAAGGGTTCAGCGGCTCCAAAAAGCGGAAATGTTGGTGCCGCCGTCCGTCGGCGCAATCGATCGAAGTCTAGTGAGTTCAGCTTCTTTGTACACTGGTCACAAATTGCACGCATGAATACTACACGTCAATCAAGCCCCATCCCTACATCGTGACTAACGTAGAAACCTTTGTTTTCCATGAAAGCATTCTAGTCGGAGTTAAGGTCAACCTCTTACGAATTCTGTAATTATTTTTATATCAAGCTGGAGAGGGAGTAGCTCAGGGCTACTGTTCTGGCTGTGAAAGTGATCCCGTTGCCTCGCACACCTCAAAGTCAGCGAATCCGGACAGAAGACGTCGAAAACCCAAGCGTAATGCCAGCGGTTCCAGTACAAATGGCTTGGCAGCCGGATGGGAGTCTCTCCGAATTGAAGATTTCATCGACAAAGAATTTGACTTCGAGGCCAATCTCGCTCTCTTTGACAAGAAAGCCTTTTATGAGAAAGCGGATGCGGCGGAGGCCTGCGATGGCAGTGCTAATGGCAACAAGGGTCGTCTGCGGCAGCTTTTCCCCGATGTGGAGCAAGTCCTGGTCGAAGGGCCCAACGGAATCGGCTTTGTACCGGCATGTAGGTCCACTCTATCCCTTATTTATCCTAGGCCCTGTCTGACCTACCATTTCTGCAGCTAAGGTCGTCCACGGCGGGTTAACTTCAGACGTCTTAATCATGCACTCTTTTGCAGCTGACGCCAACTCCGCCGAAACTCCAACACCCATAAAGGCACAACGCCAACACGAACAGAATACAGTCGCGTCTCCCCTCTGCACACCCACCCCTGCCGCCTGGTCTACCCCCACGGGCCACAAGGTGCCCTTCCTATCTAGTGCCGTGCACGATCGGATCTTGCACTACCTCGCCACCGGGAAGGACGTGGATGGGGTCGTTCCAGCGCTTCCGCAAGGACTCACATGGGACCGCATCATTGAGACAGCTGGACTAGCCGTCGTCAACGCCGCCGTCAACTTTCTCAAGCAGTCGCCAGCCAAAATGTCCAATAGGTACACGTCTAGTCACCGTGTGTGTGTTTGTGTGTGCATGTGTGTCCTTCTTACCTTGCTGATCATACCGTGGCCTTCAGCAGTCACATTATCACGAACGAGAGTTCTAACAGATGCTTGTCTGCTATGTTGGTGAACGACGCCCGCGTTAAGTAGGTTGATATGGAAGTAAGGGAGGTTCTTTAAAGTGCTCGTTAGTGCTTTGTGTTCTTCCTTTGAATCCCTTTCAGTGTATTTCGAATTCTTGTTAAAAATATAGTCGTATGTATCTTCGCTAATAATGAACCCATCAATACAGGCCTTTATGTTTAGCAAGCGCCGCAATGTAACAAGATTGGCACAGGAAAAGTTATTTTGTTGACGTAAAGCCCTGCTTCTGCAACTCGGTAATGTTGATAAGACAAAACCGGCAACTCACACCCGTGATCGCCAAGTCTTGCCACATTATTCGTATTTTCCAGTAATTTGCGTGACCTCAGGTGAATGTGTTGCGTCTTGATTGCCCGATCAGAGAAGAAACTGTCACCCACATTCAACAACTAAATTTATGTTTTTGAACAGAACTGGGCAGCAACAGCAGCCACCCTCAAGTCGGCCACCGCTTCGCGTCCTCGTGCTCCCGGGCACCGCAAATTTGGCCGGCGCGCTGGCCATTAACGCCGCCCGCCACTTGGCTTGTCGTGGAGGCGCCTGCGTTCTCCTCTACTGCCCTCCCACCGCCTCCGCAGGCCTTCAACCCTCCGTGAATGCAGCCTGTGGCGATGTCACCGCCTCCTACCGCGTTGAAATGACCCTCGCGCAGACTCTTGCACCAAAGGCAGCACTTTTCGTCACAGACGACGATGACGTGGAGGCGGAAGAAGACGAGGCGTCCATTGTTGACTCTGGAGACGGCGAATTCACTAGCCAGGCCGGCCGTATGTGGATCAGTCGTATCCCTGGGCTGAAGGTCGTTTCCACGGTGTCAGGTAACTTGTCCTTGCACCTTCGGTATACCTGGAGTAGACTATGGCAGTCTACATGAATTGACTTCCTTTCAGGTGTCACCTGTCGGCCGAGAAATGCGTTGATTGATCTTCTAATCCTTGGACAGCCCCTGGATCAGTACGACAAGGCGATACGCGATTGGTTGACCAACCACACAGCAATCTGCCTGACAGTTCAAGTCGCCAAGCCACAATCATCGCTTACCTCCGCTACAATCTTCCCTCCCCGATCGCTCAAGTCGTGGCTCATTCAGCTGGGGCTGCCCACAGTCTCACCATCGCAGTGTCCGCTAACAGTGGACGTGCACCTAGTTGACGTGGGCATGAGCAGGTCGCTGGTTTCGCGTGTGACTGGCGACCTGCGCGCCCTGCCGCCGATGGGCCTGTTCGACACGACATTCACCGTTCACCTAACCAGTAAAGGCAGCATGTAGCGAGGAGGTTGTATCGAGATTTTCTTATACGCCCTCCCCCCCTCTCTGTACAGTTTATCCACCTCTAACTCTGTCCTTTTTAAACCCCTTTTACCCTAACGCCGTCGCAATTTTATCGTACAAATTTGATGGAAATGCTAACTCAGGAAAGCTGGTTGAATTTGTCTGTCGTTGGAGTCTAATCTATAAAGTGGTTGGATGTGGCGGTGGTGATGAGATTTGAGAATCAGCGTACCCTTGTGCGTGCGCCTGCGCCTGTACGCGATGCACACGCTGACCAACTGTCGTCACGCGCTGTGTTTGAATTTGCAGTCCTGTGGCGCAGCTTTGTTTGAGTAAAGGCACTACTTGGGAAACTATTTTAGCCATGATCTCGCTGTAAACGCGTATCTCTGGTTGTCTCTATAGACTGGCAGGGTCGTTTTTAGCGATTGCCGGCTACAAAAGTAAAGATATTTTGTGGCAATAGAAATTTTAGGTTCTGTTGTTAAGGCTACGAGCGTCTCCCAGGCAGCTACTGGTACAGTTATTCAGCCGACCAGTGTAAGACCACAACGGTTCAGTCACTCTATCTCCGTTTGTGATTCGCTAGTTCTGTTTCGAAGTTTCGTAAAGCAGGGTATATGAGAGAAAGTTAATTGCGTCGACGTAGGCTTGTTCACTCCTTGCTAGGTCAACGCAAAAATTTCTCGAACTAGTATGATTAGTAATAAGTGGGATGGCTTTGAAAAATCAAATTTATATGCCTCTCCGCTATCATACAGACTGTTTTGCGGCGCCTTGCATTCACCGAAGTGATTGATGTCGATTTATCGGTCTGTACAGCAAACCAACGTTTACTTGAGATATCGATTACTTTAAGCAAATTTCAAGGTCGAAGTGAAACCATTTTATCGGATGAATGGATACACTGTCCCCATCATCCCTGATAGTTCAAGAAAAACTCGAGATTTTTTTCAAGTCCAAACTCCGGTAGTTTGTACTCAATAACTTCAAGAAATCACGTTCGCATTCAACTGAAGCAAGAATACCCGCATCATCAGTGCGAGAAGATTGCTCAATGATTCTGATGTAAATAGTTCACGTGGTTCCGATGGCAGACTTAGATAAGTTTGCTTTGATACGGTTCCCCAGTGCTCAGATGCAAGATCACAAGGTCGGAAAATAAATTTTGCTTTGTATACTCATCGATGATTGGGCCAATAGGAAATGCGCGGCCAATATGAATGCGAAATTCGGTGTGCGTTAATGAGAATGATTATTAAAAGTAGAAAGTCGATAAAATCCTGAGAAATTTAATCTTTGGCACGCTGCATCCTTAATATGCTTGGCAAAATTGTATAAAATTCGCTCGGAAAGGCTAGTGGCTAGCGGTTACCAATGTCGTCTATCGACGTCGCCGATGTATTAATCTAACAATGACAGCAAATCGCAAAATTTCAGCTAAGTTATCGGTGATTTATTCTGTTTGCTACTGACTAATACAAAAAATTCACACTGACTGAGTTTGTTTTCTAATTGAACTAATAATCTCACACGAGACAATCTTGCTACTAATGTGACACCATATGGCGCAACGAATTAAGTACTGCGTTAGCTGTCGCTAGATTACCTCAGTAGGTGGGAACTCAGGTTCCATGGCCCGGTGTTAAATACTTTTGTTGAGTACCATGTTGTCCTTCTTTGTGCTAAAACATATTTACATAAAGGAACATCCGCGAACGGATTCGCTGTGTGAAAAGGAACACAATTTGGATAAGGGAAGATGAACCAATCGGTGTAATACGGAGTAACTTCTAACCAGAACTGGGCTAGTATTCAACTAAGGTGCTGAAAAGTAATCGACGTCATGCAAACCTTTCCAACTCATGGCACACCAAACTGATTCACCAAAATGGGATGAACACAAAGACCTTTTGAGCAACGCGGAAACAGGAAAACTAATCAATAATTACAGAACTGAAGTGACAGATTTGTGGGTGAATTGAGAGGTGACATGATACCTACATCAGATATAATTTAAAAATGTGTGACATTAGTTCAGAGAAGTGTGGGCCAGCTTTCCAAACAAACAAGGAAGCTCAAATATTTGCACTCAGTTAGCACAATAATTTGAGAGGAAAAAACAGCAGTCAATTTTGCGAATGAAATTGAGACTAGACGATTTGATCTTTGGAGATCACATAGGCAGTCACAAACATTGTCGAGTACATAGGCTACTGGTTTCAGAGCATTAATTAATAGTTTAGCGGAGTGACAGATAGCAAGCATATTGGTGTTAATCCATTGGTCGAAGGTGAGAAGCACGCCAAGGTGGCGACGTCATGTGACCGGGGTTGCGACTTCCGGCTGTGTGGCGTCACGCGGGCATTGAATGACGCGCCAGATACTGAGAACCAATTCTTTCACGAGATTTTCGTATCCATTGCAGCGCCGCGGAACGGACGAACGGGAGAACAGGACAAGGATATATAAAGACCCTGTATTCCGCCTTAAACCCGTCCAGACTGTGACCAGAGTGTTTCGAGCTTCAGCATTTATTAAAGTACAGTAGACCGATTCCATATAATGTATATAATAATCAGATAAAATATGATACCCATTTAACAATGCTAGCGGAAGAAACAAATAAGTAAATTGAAATTTAAAACACGTAACAAAGTTACATTTGCAGAAGAATATGTTCAAAAGAAATTGGAGTTAATCTGTCATTGTAAAACAAAGTTGTTTGTTGATTAAAACTGGAATCTGGAAAATAATTTGTGCCCCAGCCTACCTGTCGTAGATTTGGTTTTTGGAAATAAGTTTTAGTAAATTGGAAAATTTGTGCATGTTAAGACAATTAATGACCCGAAATGGTATTATTGAATAGTGTGACACGAAATGACACACTTGGATAGATCTCAATTCCTTTTGTCGGGAAAAAAAGTAGATGGGAGTATATATTTTTCTGGTTGAGAATAAATGTTTTGATTTACAAAGACGCAACAAATTTAAAAAAAAAAGTGTTTTGTGACCAAAATTGTAGACGTAGAAAAGTCAAAAATGTAGGTGCAATTTGGCGACTAAACTAGGCACACAATAAGGAAATATGAACTACTTGCACCGGAACCTAACAGCTTTAGGAGAACACTGTAGCATGATTATACCGAGCAGCATAGTTTTAACAACTCTTTAAGGTACTTTATAAAGACGACTCCACAAGGATTCAGATAGAATTCTAAGAAATCCGTAATGGTATTTCCAAAACGGGCAAGTTATAAACATTTTTGAATGTAGACATCAGTGTCAGACACGTTCACAAAATAATAGCTTATAAATTTCGAGGCTTCAAAGAGTCGTTTTTGAAGACACTCAATAACATTGTTCCAATTTGTCCACAAACTCATCAACCTGTAGTTAATGTGTCATTTCCCACATCAATTTAAAGACGCAAAAACGACAAACTAAATCATGAAAAAAGCAACTTGATTACATTTGCCTTTTTAATTTTTAATTGATTGTTCTTTAAATTTCAACTTTTCGAAAATGATTTATTAAGCAATCTTTTTATCATAGCATTTTATACTTTGCTTTCCCGTGGGTTTTTTTATAACCGAACAATATGTGGAAAAAAATAAAGTCAAGATCATTTAAATTCTTCATGCTTGAGGAAATTTAGATGCATCGACCTGATTATTGTTGCGCGCACTTTATGAAATTGTTGAAGCCGCGGTAGTAGTCTTGCTCTCTAGATTGTATTTTGGGATGTCACACGGAAAACGTCCGGAACACACAGCTCCACCTGAACTTGTATGTTGTATTTATTAGCACTAATTTATATGCAATAGTATTACAATGAAAAAGAAGCACAGAAATATACCTCGAAGTAAGATACCTACTTTTTAATATCAAAGCACGCCGTTAGCTCACATATTATAGAAATCCAAACAAAATTGTCTGAGAGGGCACTGGAACTCTTGGCGTTGCCTGAAGATCAACCAGCATTGCTGCTAGACCTGGGGTAACTCTTTACATCGTCTAACCTTATCTCTCTAGTTGCGGTTCCGGACTTAGTGGTGAAGTTCTCTCTGAAAATGGTCACATGTGGGTAGGCATTGACATCAGCGAGGCCATGCTTGACGTCGCCCAGGAACGCGAATGCGAAGGGGACCTTCTGTTGGGCGACATTGGAACATACCTGCCCTTCCGCAGCGGCGCCTTTGACGGTGCTGTGAGCATTTCTGCCGTGCAGTGGCTATTCAACTCGGAGACCTCCAGTCAAAATCCACTCAAGCGCATTAGGACCTTTTTCTCCTCACTCTACGCCTGTCTTTCGCGTGGCGCGCGGGCAGTTTTGCAGTGTTACCCCGAGAGTTCACAGCAGCTGGATCTTTTGCAAACTGAGGCTGTTAGGGCGGGATTTACTGGTGGCATCGTTGTTGACTTTCCCAACAGCACAAGAGCAAAAAAGTACGTCCTTATTTTTGAAATAATATCTCTGCGCAAAATGGTTCCCATATTTTTCTGTTGCTGGTTTGCAAGAATTGATGCATGCTGATTTACTTTGAGCGAAATTCCAATATCCCGAAGAACATTGTTTCACGACCAAGGCGGATTAATTATCACTTCAGTATCTATCCTAATGCATTATTATGAATCTGTGAGTTTAGTCCTTAATGATAATACTCGTCGGTCTACATATGACAGAATAGATCAGTAAGCGATGTCGGATAGACGCCATGTCAACACAGGTCCACGCCTCATTAGCCTTGACTTGATATCTGTGCAGTCATGATGGTGTTGTAAGCATCCTCGTTAGTGTTTCTCTTCAGTACACTGTACTTACTGATAAAGTGTTATAGACAAGCCTTTTGTGTCCATAATACAGCACTAAGTACGGTGGCATGCCACCTACAGATTCAGTAACTGATTTTCGGAACACGTTGTCAATTACACATTCCCCTAACCGCATCCTTTCGTAATCTGCAGATATTTCCTTGTCCTCGACGTCGGTGTGGCCAGGACGGTTCCATCAGCACTCACCGGCAAGGCCAATCCCAACACCATCGCTGTGATTGAACGCGACCGTCTGCACGACCTTCGCGAGGCACGGACCAATCGGAAATGTCCCAAGAAGAGTGCCGCTTGGATTAGGCAAAAGAAGGAGCTAGCGCGAAGGCGTATGAAGGACGTCGCTCACGACTCCAAATACACCGGCCGCAAACGGCGCCCTCGTTTCTAGACTGCCATTAAACCTGTATATTTGACAAATATATCTAACTTCCTATCGCTTCACGTGACAGCATTCGTGAACATGGGTCGCTAGATTGTCATTGGTCGATCGGCTCAACCAATGAAAACAGAAGACGTATGTCGTGCTCACAACTAGCCAATGTCAAAAGCAAAAACGGACAATAGATAACACGGACTATTATAGTAGGAAGGTAAAATCAAGTAATAGGAAATTGCTGGGAGGGTGACGTTCCCTACAATGAGCGATGGCGCGAGGGGGCTTGAACAAAAACATATTATGCGAGAAAATTGCACAGCACGATGCCTAGAAGCCTCCGGCTCCTATAAACATTCTCATCTTCTCGTAGGTGAGCCAGAACGTCAGGGACCATGGAGCCTGCAACATAAAAACATTGTTACTCAAATAGAATAAGTAGAGGTGAAGTATTGGGGGAAATGTACATACCATGCGACCCCAAATGAGGAAAAACCCGCGGTAGAGGGTGAAGAAGCCCTCCTGCTTTACCACCTTGACAGTGCAGTCGATCATCCCGGTGTACAACGGTGGAAGGGTGGCGCCAGATGCTGTCATTAGGCGCTGGTTCATCATACGGGTCTTGATAAAATCGGCCGGAGTTCCCAGACAAGCGGATACAAAGCCTGACATTACTGAGGCACAGCCATGCAACATAGGCCCATCCTATAATCAAAAAAGATAGAAGAAAACTACGCATCCACAGCATTACCCCTAAGGCAACATGCAATCTACCAATGAAAAACAACCACGAGTGGACCAATCAGATGAGTGAACTCACCCTTAAGCCAAATCTCCGCTGAAGCCAGCGTTTGGCGGTGTCGTAGGTTGTCATCTCACCCATGTTCACAAGAGCGGCTCGTTGAACGTTCGGAAGGCCGCCACGCCACAAGCCCAGCACACCACCCTCCTTGATCAGCTGCCGCATCGTCAACGACGCTCTGGTTGTGGATCTGTTTGGGTGTCTAGAAAGGGTTTGGCAAACACAAATGTCGTCATCATCGGCCCGAGGCAAGACATCGCATCAACGAGGTGGCCGTTTTTGGTTGGCTCACTTCTCAAGGTCATTTGTGTCTACAACCGATTTCGGCACATTTAATTGGTTATCACCGGTGATCAGGTTAAAAACTAGTTCACAATGGGCGAAACTCCAGAGAGCAGAAGTGATTATCTAGAACGGACTTCTCATTATTACCGGGGACAACTAGTTTATGTCGTCATCCGAGTTACTAGTGTAGCGACGTCTAAGGGCGCAGACTCATCGGACCACGCCGGCCTCAGCCAATCCTCTGTCTCTTCGCATTCGATTGGCATGCGAGGAAGATATGCAGCCAACCAGAGACAGATAAGTATGAGAAAGGGTATATAATGTGCGGTGTAGCCAGTGTGGTGGACTCGGATGGATGGCGCCAGACGTATGGTTCCGGCTTGTGATTGGCCAATAAAGCCTTGTCTGTTTTACCAGTCTCCTTCTTACTAGGACTCGGGTATTCTGCGCAAGGATGTTTGATATCTTATTAAAATCTGCAAATTTTTGAATATTACGTGACCTTGAGCTGGCCTCGAGAGGTCCATCCTCATTGGACAGCTCTTAAACAGTTCTAAATGAAGTCAGTTGTGAGATATTTTACGCATTAAATACATTGGTAAATTCAATACAAGGCGATATAAACTGTGAAATCGAGGGAAACTGATAATCCACAACTTTGCCCAGTTGAAGAGTCACTTTCAATTTGATTCTTAAGTACGGATTGAGGTTGTACACGGTGGTCTCGCGTTGATGCAAAACAAGCCGAATTTGTGCCAGAATGACCCCAAAAAGACGTCGACCCGACCACGAGCATAAACAATTTGGCGGTAAAGCCTCCATTGTTTACTAAAGAGAACGCGACAACAGTGAACGTACGCGTACTACTGACCTACGCATCGCGGTAAACAAAGCGAACCACAAACAACCCACACACATGCCCGTGTCCGAGATGCCGATATCGTCTCTTTCACTTATGCAACGAGTCACTGATTGTTGGGTTTCGTAGCACTACTTGCAATGCAATAATTAGTATATTCAGACCTTAAAAAGACGAGACATCACTTATCTCGGGAAGATTCGCAAGAAAATTTCCTCAAACCGTAAAATGGCGATTCGAACAGCGTCCGCGGGGAAAAGTAATCGTATTGGCGAATCGATTATTACTAGTGAACTAAATTACGGGACAAACAAGGCCAAACTTGTCTCAAGTGTTTAGAAAAAGAGTCACGGTACCCAACTGAAGGTAAACTTAAGAGCCTACTTGGTTGCAGGATCGATTGGCATTGATTTACCGCTGCCGTCAATTACTGGCGTTGTTGACACAATGTTCTTTCTTTGTTCAGTTTGCAACCGAACCTACAAGAAGGCCGACATTGTAAACTGCAATTCAAAAGTAAACTGACAAATGGAAGACGAGATTTCGGTGTGTGAATGAATTTGGCAAGTCAAAGGCTACATTTAGAAAAAGATGAGCAACATAAGCCAGTGAAGTCACCAAGAAACTACCTTTAAGAGATCAGTGGGGCTACAAATGAACTGGGCTAACGCGCCAGAAATTATACCACCAGCGGCTGCACGCAGAACATAACCCTGTGAAAACGATTCCGAGGAAGGCGTGTCATCGGCCCGTTTGATTACAAATCGGGTTTTTCGAGCCGTGTCACTGGCCGGGGGCATTTGAAAGACGTTATTTCTAATCACTTCATAGATTGGCATTCGGGCTCCAGTATACACTAAAAATTTAATACGAAAATTAAAGAAAAAAATGGAAAGAGTTGTGCATTTTACGCTACCTGTGGACAGAAGTAGCTAATGCAAAGTTGCATACGAAAAAAGTGACTGCAATAGATGCGATAGTTAAAACGCCGGAGTTGCATCTAGTAATTAAGCAAAACGACATATGACTTTAACAGAAGGGCAGAAAACGAACAATACTCCCTCTCTTAGTCCAAATACATTACTGTTTCATGTATAACACACTACGTCGACTTTTACTAGGCAACTTACTGTAAAGCACGTTTCAGACATGCTTCAAATCTGATTAAAAAGCTCCAATCCTAACAACATAGGTCAACGTGCAGTGAGACCGACGGCACTGCCGATTAATCTCGCTGGAACGCAACAACACAAAAAATAATAAATTAAAGAAAGTCTGTTTGATCATCACGAAGTTTTTTTAACCAAAAGCACACGAAAAAACCGATTACCATGAAACATGTAAACATAAAGAAAAGTAACTACCCTCTAAAAAATCATACAAAAACCATGTTCAAAAGCCAACAGTGGCAAGTAAGTGACGTTTATTTTGCTACTTGAATCGATAAAACAGCAGCTATCAGTAAACGCGAAAAAACTTACAAAAGTGTCTATACAAAGCAGGAGATAATCCTTGCCAAAAGCTCAGAACTCCTTCATTCTTCACGATCGAAACAATTAGCGAAAATAAACGTGGCCGCACCCTTAATGGTGACAACTCGCCAGCCACTTGTAGACGGGTTTTGACGATATCGAGTGGGTACGTCACTAAATAATATATTATTTATGTGCACTTCACTACCTGTTTCACCAATAAACGCAGAAATGCAACAAATAGTAAAGTGAGACACCTGTGGGTGAGCGGCATGTAAACCACGAATAGTTTCCTTGATATGAACTCGATCCATTTTCTCAGGATCTCAGTTCACCAAAACACCGCTCACTCACTTTGATAAATGTGCGTTGCAGGTAGTTAATTGTAACAATTGGTTCAAGGTCACAAACTGGGTCCACTCACGATCGCTAACGATCCTGGATTGCTACTTACAATAAAGTTTTGATAAAGTAACTTTCGACAAAAGATTTAAATTCAGATTCTTCATATTCGTGTTTTTTTCTAATGGATTTAAAAATTAATAATAATATGAATAATTATCAGATAAGTGAATTTTTGTGGACTTACTCAAGATGAATAACAAATTTGGCTAAACCAATTCAATGGGTAAACATGGATGATATTCATAATTTGACCCGATTCCTACCGTGAATTTAATACATGTTAAGTGTTAAATGCACTTTTAAAAATTCATCCGCAACAGCAAAATCGTACAGTGAATCAAGTTTGAATGATTACGCACACGAATGAAGTGGCAACGTAATTGCGAGATATGAAGTGCCAAAATACATACATCTACACCCCTTCAAAATTAATTTCCAACAAAAAATTGTGCTTCTGGCATTCAAGAACGTAAAAAGATTTTCCATGATTCTTCCATTACATGGATGTGGTTTTTGATGCAGTCGATTCTATGCAAACAATTTTAACGATGTAACCGCAAACTAGTTTAAAGGCACGGCCTTTAAAAAAATGACAAATACTTATTTCCATAAGAATTCGGCAAAAATGCATTTAACCAGAAGCAAAGCCAAATCGCATTAACCATTTCCGAGAGACTTTTTTTAACATGTCCTCAGGCTACAAACCATCCTTGTTAATTCACTTCAGAGGTTCAGATTATTCTAGAATTATAGTAAATACGAACAAACATATACCATTTTAGAAAAATGACGTCATTTTTCCTTTTTGTTCAATTATTTTAACGCAAAATATGTAGTATATTCGACTTTTTTTGTACAGCCCTGGAATGGTAAGCTGCAAATATGGCGTTATGTTAACGCGTATCATTATTGTGACATACTCTCGTTGAGGTAATCAACAAAAAATTTGAGGTATTAATGAAGTTCTACTGTGAATAGTGTCAAATGTTTCAGTCAAAACATTGCAGAGTGTCTTTTGTAAAGAAATTTTTAAATGTGTTTAATTTAAGTATTCAAATTATTTTTTTCCAAATTCACTGGTAAACAGGCAACTAGCCATGCATATTTTAAGTTTTAGAAGTGCAAATAAATTTGATAAAAGTTTTGAATAAGGTTAAAACAAGGTTTATAAGATATTACGAACCTGTTCCTCCATCTAATTTATTTTTTTCCTTTTTAAGTGATCTTTTTTGTTTTTACCATTATAAAACGTTATGCAAGTTGTTGTTATAATTTGTGTATTTAGTGTTGTTAAAGGCATCACTGTATTCAGAAACATGGCAGGAATAATTCAGTTCATTAAGTTCTATAACAGATTTTTTGTTTGCTTCAAGGTCACTACTTTGAAGTGGCAATTTAAAACATACAGCCCTTTCGCTCTATCCTGTTTTTTGTCGTCTATTACTTTGGAACACATTTGGTTAGTTTTTACAAGTGTTCATAAATATTGTTGTATGATTATTATTGTTATTATTGAAAGTTCTAATAACCTAATCGATACAGATACGAAATGCTCATGTATACTACAAAGAACATGTCCACTAACAGTTATTTTTTCCTGACTTTAGACCTTAATATCATCGAAACCTATAAAAGGGCATTTTAGTACTGATTAAATATTGAACAGCAGGTCACGAAACCAATTAAGGGCGCACAATATTTTGCATTTGAACTTCTTAATGCCTACAATTAGAGACGAATACATCTTTCCATAAAATGGGAAATTAAGTAGCTATTGTCTTTATGTAAATTGTGTTTTATATTGGTATATGTCCTATTAGAAAATTCATTCTGCTCGGTCCTCTAAGATATATAGTAATATTTTATTCAGTTATAAGTGTATTGAATCAAATAAATATGGTGTAAATAACCGTGTATTTGCGTTTTATACCAAGGTTTAAGATTTTTCTGTGTCATTGCCACTATACTGAATTTCGGTCGTTAAAAAGGTATTAGCCAAATTTTCAGTCCTTTACTACAAATTAACCGTTTTCGCTTTAGCCTTCTATGCATTTGCAATGCAACTCAATTGTTATAGTTGTGGAATATTTATGTTTACCAGTATGCACACTGCTCCCAACAACATTTTTTCCTGGCTTTAACCCTATGCATCCTGAGATTTAAGATAATTTTAGCAGTTAACCAATCATCCATTCACAAATGCTCGCACTAATAATTGTGTAACGATAGTTTATTTAAGCGGCTCGTACGACAAGGCACTTTGAAGGTGCATCCCATCTAACTGTCATGGTTAGTCCAAAATTTTTCATTGTGCAAAATCGGTGTTTTAATGTTTGGGTATGGTTATCCAAAAAACACTTTGCACATTCTTTTAACAGTAACTTCTTTAAGCTCCTTTAGCTAACAGCGGTTAACTCAATAATGGACGTAGATGTGGAGGATAAAGGCTTACTCCAAGCACCCTGTTATAACTCCCTTGGACTCCTGGCCTTTATGTAAGTACCGTAATTAAAACCATCTTTTGCATTACGACGCGCCAAAGAATCATCGCATTTTTGTTCACCTTAGCGAATGGTTTGGATCACTGGCGTGGCCTGTGCGCCCCTACCAAGTTGCCATTTGCTTCTCGCTCGCCTATGCATCCGACGCATACTTTAAAGTGCCATACCTGGAGGAAGTCAAAGAAAGGCTTACTTATCTTAATGAATGGTGGATTCCATCTTCACTTGGTATGTCATTCGATCACTTTTATCAGTAGACACATAGATTTGCCCCTATATGATTAAGAAGAGAACCGCACAATCTAGCGCTAATGTGCAGCATAAATGCAATGACACATTAATCTCCTATTATCTTGCGTTGTCCTTTTAGGCGAACGCTTTGCACGTCGTGTTGAATTGCTTGAGTTTGGTTTATTATATCTCGCACTGTTCACATGGATACGCCGAGGTTTTCTCCGTTGGGTACTTTCCTACACGCGATGGATTTGTAAGTCACCTCGCTTGATTTCTCCCGGTCTGAATAGGAATTCTTTCTTGCCATTTAAATCTAAGCATAATTTCGTTAGCCTAGCTCAAATCAAGCGTGAAAACTCTTTACGTGACTTTGTGTTTACTGATGTGTTGACTGCCGCGTTGTGTGTATGCGGACTCACGGTTTCTTGGGGAAGTGCCTTGCTATCTTCGTGTCCTTGAACCGTGTTTCATTTAAATTGAGACTATTCGGATCCATCACAAGACATCTCCTTTTGGGGGAAGTGCTGGAGGTACGGTCTGTGGCTTGGCGCTGGAAGTTCGCCATCAACATTCGACACGGAGACGATCCTTCCGTCGCTCCCACTGCCCAGCGTCGATTTGACCATCAAAAGAGTGATGGGCAGCCTTGCTCCATATCTTGGCACCGACTCTGCCAGATACCAGGAGATTGAAGTCGGCATCAAGGTAGGAAATGAGATTTAATTGGTGGACACGCAAGGTCACATGCCAGCATGAACCTCAAACCAGTTTGGTAAAACAAATTTTCCAATTTGAACGAATTTGTAGTGATGTTGACATTGTAAATTCGATGAAAATCAAATTATTTTTTAAATATTTGACTGTCTCGCTGACACCTCTTGCACTGCAACAGTTTTAAAAATCAATTTTTTAAAAACCACGCACTCACACACACAGACACACTCAGCAGCGATGTGCCTAGGAGTTATGTGTTTCGCTTCAATAAGTAGTCATCCGATTGGTTGTTGATGTTTCCACAGCTGACCTGGTTGGTAGGTCAGGTGTGAATGAAGTATGCTGGAATGTACTGTGTGCGCCTTTACGAACCTGAATGTGTGCGTGAATGAGAGGCCCGTTTCGTTGCTATGACGACGTTCTTGAGCACGCCGCATTCTCTGACGCGTGCCTATTTACTGAAACCCTCTAACTTCTACAATTAATCATCAAGATTCGAGTCTAATTAGCTCGTCATTTCTGTCCCAAAACCTCTGTTTCATAATTTAGAAATGGGCGAAAGAACAAGGCAGCGGTTGTCAGCGTCGACTGAGAGTAAAAAAGTGGTTTTCGGGGAACTACGCAACTGCCTGGTGGTAAGATATCAGTAGTAGCGTTGTTTTATGCTAAAACGGATGTCGTCCCGTCTACGGCGCATAATTTTTGGTATTCTTCAGGGAATCCTACACATTTCTGTGCCACAGAGAGTCCGACTTCACGAGTCCAACCTTCTACGCATTTCAGAAATCAAGTTCGCAATTTACTCAAAACTCGCTTGCTCGGTGAGTAGTTTGTTTCCTATGCACCTGTAAAGTCACTTCTCAAACCCTCTTATTGATACAACAGGCTAATCTGGTTAATTCAAAAAATCAATAAATTTAAAGATCTTGATTGGTTAGAAAGTGAGTCACCCGGGAAGTAGTAGAATTTCTTTATTTGAGTGCAACTCTGTGTGCTAATCGAAGTGTCGTTGAGTTGATGTTCCTTGTGGGAAACCTCACGAGTGCGCAGGCACTTCAAATTTGCTGCTTCAAAACCACCGAGTTACACTAAGTGCACTTGTTGCTAGTGACAAAACAGACTCAGTGGCAGGACAGAGGTCCCCAGTAGTTAGAGTTCGGTGGTGTGACTTCCGTACACACCTGGTTTCGTTTTGTGCGGCATTTTCGGGGTTTTTGATTGGCTAAATTCACTTGGCTTGATTTAAACCGTGCTTAAGTGCATTTCAGGGACTTCTGACGAATGCAGAAGACAACCCAGTGACCTTGTAACCTTTTTCCACCACACACAAAAAAGAATCAAACTGTTTTCCCTCAGCTTTGTTTTGACGAGCCACACGACACCAAAAGTCAGACTACACGGTAATGCAGACTAATTCTTGAGAACATTTCCGTTTTCTGCTTGCACCCGTTTAAAATAAAACTGCATTTAGGGAAGGCGGGTAATTGATTATGATACCATCTCCCCTCGTTCCTAATATTTTGTTTTGCAGGTTGTCATAGCAATTTGCAATGGTGTTTCCCGTGAATGTTGTTTAAATTAAGTTAATTAGCATTTTTTTCGCATTTTAAGCATCAACCGTATGATTATAGGAGTTAGTATAAAGAATAATGCTAATGATCCCTGAATATGACGTCATCCACACAGCTGTGCAAGCAGCGATGACTAATTGGCGTGTCTGGTATCATTTTTTTTTCAGGGCCGCAGTTCTTCTCTACCTCTACGGCAACCTCCGTACCTTGCTTAAAGCAGGCAAAGTCAAAACTCAGACCTTCCAAGGCCGAGTGCCAATGTGCATGACCCAATGGCGTCGTCTCTTTTCAACCACTAGGTTCGCTCCATCTGGTCATTGGCGCGGAAAGTTCAAAATACTGACAAATTAAAACAATCCGGAGTATCTAGCCCAACTCCCAAAGAAAATCGCGCGATGCAAGACATCTACTTCAAGGACACGTTGACTTTTTAAAACACACGGAAATCAATAATTAAGGACTAGTTTTACAATGCATCGACCTGTGTGCGTGGGGTCTCTGAAAGTTATGTTTAGATTTTTCTCAATTTTACGATATGGAAATCGATATTCAACTAGCACAACTAAAAATCCTATTGGCCAACAATGGGAACCTCAAACCATACCTTTCATGGCATTTAGAACATTAAGACCCATCCACGAAGTTGATTTTTAAAAGTTCCGAGAATAATGGTAGCAAAATTCAACCAATAACTATTGATTTCCGTTTGATTGGCTTGGTCGATTTGGCCCGTTTCAGATTCGTGCCTAAATGCAATGTTGAGCAATTTATCAAGACACATATGTTCTTACAAAGCTTTCCCCCATAGAATTGCAAATGAAGATCACGACGAATTGTGGACCTATCCTCCCTCATTCAGCAAGGTAAACACTTCTTCTAATTTTTTTCAGTAAATTAATCGGGTAGTTTAACCCTTCTATCAACTGATAATTGGTCCATCAAGATAATTTCGGCGAGTGTAGAATCACCAACGTCACGAGGGGCGTGCTGGATCAATGGGAGGGGAGATCAAGGGTAAAAATGACAAATAAAGTTCCGTGCTACTAGCAACCAATTAGTAGAAATGTCAAGACGAACTGTTTACTTCAGATGGCAAAAGTTGCAATCTGTTTCAGCACATAGTCGTCGTGCACAACGAACACTACTACAAGGTCCCGCTGTTTACCAAGTGGCGCCGAATTGTCTCGCCAGATCTACTGCAAAAGATGCTGCATTTCATCGTGGAAGATTCATCAAAGAAATCTGGTGAGTTAACTTGCAAGAGAATGACAACGCGAAATGTCAAACTAGAGCACTGTTTTTGGCCTCAGAGTGCGAACAACAGCCTCAGTACTCACCAGCCCTCCTGACAGCTCTCAATCGAGACGAGTGGCACGAGTGTCGATCGGATTTTCTCACCTCTGGAGCCAACAAAGTCGCCTTAGACGCTGTCGAAAAGGCCATCTGCTTTGCAAGTCATTTTAATTGCAACTTTGGCATTTTTTTCGCTTTGGAAACTCGAATTTCCACACAATGACGCAGGAATGGTTGTAGGGGCTGACAGCGTCTCCCTCGCTTCCTTTGTAGGTTCATTTGGCCACCGACTCTGCGCAGAGCGTTGACAGTTTTCGTGGAAAACTGTGGCTCGACAAGTGCATCAATTTTGTCGTGCTGAAAGAGGCCACCGTGGGCATCCACGTTAATTGGGCTTGCATGGACCCCGCGGTGTTCGGGACAGTTCTCGAACGCCTTCGCGTCGCGGAGTAAGTTGCTGCGCAGACTTTTGAAATTCCGGATTGTACGAGCGTTCTGATTGGTCCTACGTCTCAACTCTGATTGGTTGGATTCTGAGTGGGCTATTGGCTGGGTGTGAGGTTATACTGAGATCACATTTGCATGTTTCTTTCAGAACGGCATCCATGTATGACTCTGAAACCGGTGATGCTGTCGCCATCCACGACGCTGACCACTCGTGTGACGAGCCAATCGCACTTAACTGGCAGTGTGTCGATGAAATGACGGAGATTTACGCAGGTGCTCAGAAGGTGTGTCTAAGGGTGAGCAACGTCCATGTCCTGCAGTGGACATTTCAAATTCGATTCCCAGCGGACGCGCATCACTGACATTTGTTCAAACACTTACATCGACTGGAGTGATATAGCATTTCTACTTATATCATTAAGTAGGTATTTTTTCCGCACCAGACAGTAAATGCAGTGAATTCGTGCGTCCTCTACTTCACGGAGTACGGTCGTGCGACAGTGAAGTTTAAGTGGGACCTGAGCACCGACGGGTTCATTCAGACGGCCCTTCACACCGCCTTTTACCGAATGTCGAGGAAGCTGGCTTTGTGCGCTGAAATCGTGCCCTGTCGACTCTTCAGCAACGGCCGCAATGAAACGCTTCGTTCTCTCACCACTGAGGTGGCCAACTTTGTGAGGTGAGCATAATACCACCTAAAAAACCTATGCTACTATCACTATTTAAGTAGTCAGCATCAGTCATCAATGGTGGAGTGGAGAGCAATGGTACGAGTACTTAGAAAAGTTGGCCGGGATCAACAAATTGTGTTTCTACTTGATATCGATTTGCGCTATTTAAGACAATTCATGTTCTTGATCGCAATCGATAGCTGATATTGGCATTTTCTTGCAGGGCGTTTAACAAGTACATGTCAGCCAAAGTGAAGAACGGTGGGGGAACGACAGATCCATCGGAAGTTGACAAGTGTGTGACGCTACTGAGGACTGCTTGCCAACGCCACCAGTGTCTCCTTCGGCACGCTTTGACTGGGAAAGGCGTCGACAGACACCTCCTTGCCCTCAAAATCGCCCACCAATTCAGAACTAGTGTGGTACCTATTTTGTCCTCATCATTATATATTAGAACCATAACACTCTACTTTATGCATTTCAGTAGCTTGTATTTTACCTTTTACGAGACACAAAAACAGTCACTGGTGTGTGCTTGTAAATATTTTAGCGATGCGAAGAGCTGGACAGGGTAATTCAAATGCCGTTCGACCTTGTGACCTGTCGCATTCCCAATTCGTCGTCTGAGGTAACTTATCCAACTTAATTTGCCAACTAGTGTGAGTACGTTTTTTCTGTTGAATACTTTCCTTTCAACTGTCTTCATTTTCACTTAAGGGTGCATGGCAGATTGGTTTGCCGGCTCCGGTACACAAAGGTGGCCTTAGCATTACCTACGCGTGTCGATCAGACCCGGAGGCGATGGATTTCATCGTGAGTGGAGCTGGAAGTCGAGCCTCTAAGTTTGTACAGACCCTCAATCAAACCCTCCGCGATTTGCAGGACCTTCTGCAAATTCACCCAATCACATTTTGACCTTGAGAGTATTAAACTTCCTGTTGATTGGTTTGCATCGAGCCTTCTACCCAGGGGGAATGTTTTTGTATCTATTAACCACACATACACCTTTCAGTGTACACACTGAAAGTCAGTTGGTGAAAGGAATCGAATGCTCGTCACCTTTGACAAAAATTCGATGAAAACCATCGTTTCCAAACATTTACAAATTGACCTAAAATTGACACTTAAAATTGACACTGGCTGATTTTAAATCTGATTGGCTAATATCTCGAATTAGAGCCAATTAGCCCGACTAACCTAGCCCGAAGTTTAATTAGAAGTGTGCAATAGCAAAATGGGATTCTTGTATTCGCAATACTGACGACAATTGCCATATACTTACATTAAATATGACATGATCAAAATTTTTTAATCGAGAAAATTCGATGGAGACCTCAATCGTTCGTTTTGGTGCGTTTGATCAGCAAAGTGAGGTCCCACACGCAGACGTTGCCCTCGTGCATGGCAGCAACCAGACAATTTCCGAAGACCTTTTTGATTGGAGGAGAAGAATTTCAAATTAGGAAACAACAACCAATCAGATTAATGTACCTCGCTAATGCAACTCACCTTGAAGCAGGTGGCCTTTCCGTTTTGGGGACTTTGAAAGCGATCGAGAAGCGTAGCTGTCCTAGCGTCGAAACATCGGATCACTCCGTCTCCAGACCCTGTTAATACTGTCGAAAACAGTCTACTGAAATGCGGATTTAAGTAGTTCTATTGCTCAAACAACTCTCTACTCACACAGGTTGTCTTTTAAGATGAGATCGAAGACGGTGTGCTCGTGGCGCTTGAAGGTCAACAACGGTTGTGCGACCTCAGTTATCCACGACCGCGCCGTCTCGTCAGAGCTCGCGCTGTACAAACAGTCGCCTGTTAACTAAGTGGAAAAAAGCGTGCTGTGATTGGCTGTCAGTTCAAGTGAAAGTGTAATGGCCCAATTAAAGATCCTCGCTATCTCAAGGTCAATGTGAGTAGGTTAATTTAATCCAAATGAATTTTAAGGCACAAATTCCATCTGCAGATCCTTATTTTATCGGATATATTGTGAGAAGGCATTACAACAACACTCCATAATAATTAATTCACTCATTCAACATCTACTGAATGCCGCATTGTAACGTTTTAATAATTAAATCATAGGTATCATGTGATTGGTCAGAAAGACCGCGCTTTTATGATTTAAACCTGCTGAACTTTAGCTGAACAAAATTCTAATCACTTAAGAGTTGTTAAGCTGCGACTGAAGGAAACGTTTTGTGTGTGGGTGGCCTTTTTTTATCAAATAAGGTCATTAAAAGGAAATTTACTGAAACGCCCATTGAATTCGTTGCCATGGCACCCAGAAATTGGAAAAAATGGTGGGAGAACAACGCTACCGACACCCCTCCCACCAAATACGTCAATGTTGACGATCTGAAAAAAAGCACCGACATCTACAACAGCGGAGAATTGTGTACAAATACGTAAACAACAATATGTCGCGTGTTCCTAGCTAGCAACAAGTGGACGCCCATCAATGGTGTTGTTTAAATGCATTCGACCATGGCGACGCGCGACAACAGAGTGTGTTGTTAAACTCAATAATTCAGACAACCATTAGGGACAAAGTAGGCAAAAGCGAATTGAGCTGTCGATGTTTCAAGCGCTTTGCTGTGATGAAACACGACTGCGGGCTTGTAAGATCGTCATTTTTAAACCAGTCAAGTTTAGATACTTAAAACCACCTAAGTAATCGGTTGTTCTCCATGCAAACATGAAAACTCTTTGAACTTTCAGTCACAATTTTGTAACAATCGATTTATTAGCAGCCTCTTGTTTGTCGACCATTTTTTTAATTGATTTCAGTTTTCTTTTGTTTAAATCGAATAAATCGATAATGCATTTAGAAGAGAATCACTTATAGGGGAATTTTACTGGCCAACTATCTAACAGAAATGGTGCATCTCGATTGGTTGAAATGCCTCAATTATATCGAATCCCGAAGACAGTAAATTTTGCAGTTTAACTAATTTATTGCTACTGTTTGCACGCAAATTGACTTGAGTTTGAAGGTGACGCATCACTTTAAGTCAGAAATAGCCACGCGTTTTAATTGCGTTGAAATTGGGTTTGAAGTAAAGTTTGCGGACAGGCGTGCGTGTGCGCGCGTTCTCCAATTGCTAAATGCGTTTTAGTGTAAATAACGAATGCCAAGCATGCGAATAAACTTGACGATCTGATTTCATTGAAATGCAAAAATTCCGCCAACCTAGCAAGAGGCAGAACTTTTCCGCCTTTTTAGCCCGGGGATGGATTTTGCCCGTTTAGGTGAAAATGAGCGCCAAACTCACGAGCAACGAGATAACAGGTGCAGTATGGCCCTCGAACCAGTGCATCCTCTGGCCGGTTTCCATCAGCCAACTGGCGATCCGCATGTCCGAGGAACCGGTGTACAGGAAGTGACGCTTCTCGTCCACCGCCACACACGTCACCGGACCTGCGTGTCCGCTGAAGGTCTGCAGGCTCGTCGACTTCGTGGCCGCCCACAGACGCGCAGTGCAGTCGCCAGAGAAGGTGACTACGCGAATCCGGCGTCGTTCCTCGACCTCCCCTCGCTCATCGTCTGGCGTGTCGACCCCGATCACGCAAAGACCGTACACGGCACCCTTGTGGCCTTGGTACTCTCGAATGAGAGTGCCGTTGTCCAGGCTCCAACTGCGGAAGGTGGGGTCGGAACAGGTAGTGAAGATGTGCGTCGTCGATGCCCCCACAGCTGTGATTGGTCCGTTGTGACCGCTTATTGTCTTGGGTTAAACAACATCAAGAGATTCCAGTACAAGTTTATTATGGCATCTAAGTAACAATTAAACAAGCTTTTGCATTCCCGGAAGCTAAAAACTCATTTGACTAATCATCTGCGTAATCAGATCTTATCCTTAATTTGATTGGCAAACAGATGCGGCCTACGCTCCTGATTGGTCGAAATATCAGTCAACTTCGAAAACCGAATTTGATAGAAAGGAATTCCAATTAACTCTTTCAACTATAATGTTTACGTGAACACCGCTAAAGCATTCAATTGTTGGGGCATTTCAGTGAGTGCAAATTCTCAGACGCTTGTGATTGGCTGGAATAGTGATGTTTAACAAAACCGCCATAATTCGCTTACAAACAGACAGTTTCCGGTTTGGAGATCCCATTTTCGGACAGTAGTATCTCCAGAGCCAGAGAGGAGACATTGCTTTGCAAAGGCGAGACACGTGACGTATTCAGTGTGACCTTGGAGCTCGAGAAGGCACTCGTAGGTGTTGCAATTCCACACGCGCACCGAGCAGTCCTCAGAGCCGGTGGCAATTAGTGCAGCGTCTGGCGACACGACGAGACAGTTGACCTCTCCGGTGTGACCTTGAGCCAGCACAATTGGTTGGTTGGCGTCAGCACCAGCCGTGGTGTGATTTGAGTTGTCCACATCTTCAGGATTCCCTGGGTTTGACCGACTTGGTGCGACTCCCATTTGCGCCAAATTCGTTTTTCTCGTTCTAAAGACAGTCAACATTGATAATCTTGCCACTGATTGGATTGTAAATGTGCTGTGCCATTTGAGCTGCGTGCAAGCAGCCGACCAATCTAAAATCACCTTAACTCGTTTCAGCCAATGAAACTGGGCTGGGAAGCAATCAGGTAATAGTGCCCAGAACTGGCCAATTGCAAAAAAATGTGCTGCATCCATATCAATAAAGACGCCCTAGACCTGTAAGAACTAATCACAACCTGATTGGTCAGCGTTTACCGCGTGTGTTGAATTTCTAGTTATGTTAGTCTACATTTTGCTAGTCCGAAATCAGCAAGTTGGCAGAAGGATAACCACTGGTTACTGTTCACCCAACCTATAAACTGAGTGTTTTTTTTTCAAAAAATTTATTTTTTTGGGAAAAAGATGAAATATTTCAATCCGAAGTAACTTAATTTAGCAAAACAATGTCGCAGGACACCTACTTATAAAACATCCAAGTTTGGGATACTTACTGGTACCAAATGATGCGACTTCAATGACCGAATGGAAGCGAGACAATAGGTGCATGTTGCACATGCTCTGTTGCTATGACAACCAAGGACAGCCCCATGATGTTGAGTACTCATTGGTCTGTTTCTGCTTCGTTAAATGCGACTCGGATATGAGTTGATTTATTTGAAAAAACTAATCTTTTTAAAAATCTCGACTTCGCGATTTAATAGCTTTGTGATATTGAGTAGAGGATGAACATAAGGCGGGTAGCTTGAAATGTTGATTAGAATTGACTCTGCACAAAACAAACCAGTACTTGACCATATATGTCCATGATGTGCTACTAACAAGCTTTCAGTAGGGCTTATTTTAAACTTAATCCAACTGCAGTTAAACATACCCTAGTTATGTTAATAAAATGCTGATTAGACCAGGGTAATACTTTTGAATCGCCTCTTTGAACATAACAAACCAGCACTAGTGTGCTACTAACCAGCTTTCAGTAGCAATGTTATTTAAAAAAATCAAATAGCTGTAAAACCTCCCTCCTAGCTGAGGACAAAATGACTTTTAGCAAAATATTCCCTTCCTCCTTCTATCTAAATGAGCAGGCCGCAACTGCGTGTTACTGGGAGCAATGTAACCACTTCTGATCACAAGCCCATGACACAAAACCAACTTGCATTAGATTAATTATATTCACTAGTAAACCACTACTTACAAACAGCAAGTCCTATGAAAAAAAAAGGAAATAAATTTAGCTTCTCCACGATTGAGGTGGATAGTGAAATCGTCGCAATTGAGGTTGATGAAGAGGCAAATTAAAAGGCAAGCACACGAATAGCACACAGATCTGATGCGAAATCCAGAAAGGTAATTAAATTAACACGATGAGGTGCGTCAGTATTCGCCACTGCGGTAGAGGTTGATGCCACCATAGTGACGATCCTCGTTCCATTGCAAGTCCTCACTGTCCTGTTTGCCAAGCATGTAGTCACCTTTAAATAAAAGTTAAATTCAAGTCAGAAGTTTGAAAACCTAACATTGATTGGTTGGTTAAAATTATCACATCGAGTTAGTTCGCGCATTGTAAAAAACAGACTACTTATTTGCCATAAGTAGATATTGCATTTAGATGCATACAGGTTAGTGCGTTTTCATAATCTCTGCATTTTGGCCCTGGATTATTCTTCTAAAATCCAGCGAGTGTACAATATAGCGGCTTGGTTGAATTCACGTTCAATGCTTCTTTGTTATCACTTTGAGAAAAAGCAAGAATTCTCAAATTTCGTCATTTTAGGTGGAGTTAGCCAATTAGCGGGCAGCCATCTATTAACCGTGTTTAATAAGCTAACGCAGGTCATCCATAATTCTTCACAACTCTCCTGCAACACCTAAAACGTTGGTTCCTGCAAATTTTTTCAGCAAAAATCGCCATTTTTAGGCAAAAAATAGTTTAACGCCAATCTTTCATGCACCCTGCGTCAACAAGGTATCAGTGAAGGCAACGCTAAGCCCCGGTTTTACAGGAGAACGCATGGAGTTCCATCCAGGACAGCACGCAAAAAAAGCAAAGCCATAAAAATTTCGCCCTTAAATGAGGTGTGTGTGAGTGTTCAAGCTACCGGACATGGGTTTTGCTTCCGACACAGGCTACGCCCATGTTTTTAGTGTGAAATGTCAGCCAGGGGTAATCACAGTTACCGCACACTCTATTCTGAGGCGGGTGATGCAAAATCACACACACACACACAGGAAATTGTATTCTCTCACAAAAAAAATTTACTTTTTCTGCGCAAGTGTTTAAAACGAGTGCATGGCGGTTTGTTGGTGTGGAGCCCAAATGGGCCGAACTCGGACCAATGACTGGCATCACCCATGTTTGACTCACTTCCAAAGTCATGATGTCGATAGTAGGGCAGCCCCTCGTCGAAGGCGTACATTGGTCGATCCCAAGGTCGCCGACGTTGACGAATGGGCGAGGTGAGGAGGTAACCAGTGTTCGTGGATGAGGCTATGGGATGATAGAATGACGACGAGTAGTGCTGGTAGGGCAGCATGTACCTCGATGTGCGGTAAAGCGACGTTGTGGACGACGCATAACGCGCTGGTGACGGTGAACAGCATCGGTCACGGGAAATCGGCGTTGTGCACTACAAATGTTCGATTAATGTCTCAAGGTACCGATTGAAAACGCTGAAATGAATTCAGTAGCGTGTTGTGTGCCACAATTTCTAATAAAAGTATCTCGGCTTGAAATAATTTGCGGAATGCAAAAAAGCCCAGTGTTTACACAAGCTAAAATCGGCCTGAAAACTTGCTACCTTTCGACAGTATTTTTAAAATTTTTTACGCGATTTTGAGCTCCTGTCTTGGATTAAACTCTTTAAACCAGTTTTGTGTACTGGCGGAAGTTGGAAGCATCACGGTAACACCTTTTGCTTCACGGCGAGCTTCTCTCTTTGGTTATCGTTCTATATTTTACTGATCAGAGCACTTTCAAAGTCAATTTTACGAGAATTACTCCCGTCACACGATCAAACTCCGAGTTAAACATTGCCCTGCACATTCAAGCCGTTCAAATTTTACAAAAACACCACACCAAGTAATCTTCTGAGCTCGTTTTGGGAAATAACGCGTTTATTCGCTGCACTTATGAGTGCTTGTCCAGCCGAACAAATTGTGCATAAGGTGAGCTTGAGACAACCACACACCCTGGCAGATATGATTCCATATTTAGCCCTGTGAAGCAGTTTCATGTGTTTTTTTTCGAAAAACGCTGACGTCTTGCGTCACCAGGCATTGCAATTGCGACAGAAGGTACCTTGAGTTGGCAAAAAACAGGTAACCGGAAGTTTTGATGGGCGATTGGCGGAAGTCGACGCCCGACGAGCGATTGGCCTAGAGAGGCAGGTGGGTTTGCAAGAGGAAACAGCTTTTATCCAATCAAAATGTGGCATTTTGGTCCGCATGTTTACAAAAATCGCGCTAGCTTTTTTCTCGGTAACGATTGGTCCTTCAGAAGAAAGCATCTTCACGAGTTCCGAAATCAGTCAAATTACAGACAGTCCAGATCGCAGATCGCATATCTGTTGCAAGATTGTTGTGTTGCTGACACAACACAATTAAAATTGAAAGAAATCTTGCTAGAAACTAAGTAAATTAAATGACCCGGCAAGATGGCAGTAATTGAGTTGGCTTAACACACACTATTTGCAAAATAAAAGCAGATAATCATCGTTACCGAGTTTTGAACCGGACACGTATTCTGTTTAGCGAAACGAAGTGCTGCCTCGGCTACAGCGCGTGTGGGTAAAATGTTGGCGTCAAGAGCTTCCTGAAGGCCAGATGCCGAGCATCGTCGAAGGTCGATAACCCCGAGAATCTCCTCCCTCAGAGTGTCAGTTAAAGACGCCTTGTCTACAACACATAGTGACCCTTCTCTGTTGTCTGTATGAACTACGGTATATCTGTTTTTTTCATGAATGCCATGCACTTACTCGTCTTAACTAGCTTGCAGATTGCTTTGATCAATCCATCGTGGTTATCCCTGCAGTCAAGGGGAAGAGCAGTCTTTAGCAATCCAATGTACTCCTCAATCGTCATGTTTTGGCTTTCGATTGCAGCATTAAAGTACTGGTCAAGATTGTCTGCGATGGTTGGCGAATTGTCGGGTTTGTTTTGCGCAGTGGTGGAGGCCACATCGAGTCTGCGTTCGTCGGATGTAACTTCACTTGTGGTCGAAGAGCTGCGAACAGCGGGCAGCTGCATTGTTGAGAGGATATCCTTGATGGTTTGTGGCGGTATGACTCGAAGCTCGGGAACAGTAAAGCGCGAGAGCATCTTTCCTGCAATTTCGAGGATTAATGGGCGGCAAGTAGATTCGTCTTTTTTTCGCTCTGTGACCATTAGTGCCTGAGAAAATGTTTTTGTTAGTTTTGAAAAATGACCAACCTGTTTGCACCAATCGACATTGACTTTGGAGGTCAAAGGGATTTCCGATGGCAAGACAGCAAAAATCTTGTCCATCACATCAACAAGTGGCGCAGTCACAAAGTCAGTTTCTAAAAGTTCTTCAACCAGCATATCTCGGTCAAGGCTGCTCAGCCGTTCAAAAGGGATGCAAGCATTTGCGACCGCTCGTTTTAGGTGGTTTAGAGTAGCTGGAGATGAATCGGAGTCGCAGACTATCTTTGCATCCTCAGAAGGGAGTTCATTAATTCCGTTTATTTCCCTAAGTTTCGCATCTAAGGAGAACCGCACAGCAAAAAACTTGGCTGCTAGCTCTGCTAACGTCGGAAATGTTGATTTCGCAGAGGAAACTTCTTGGATCAGACGAACTAACACGTTGACTGGCAGAAAAACAAGAAATTCTGTCAAAACTGGATCAACAGCTAGTCGCACATCATTGTGCTGACTGTGGCTCACCCACGTGCTTAAAACTGCATCATACAATCTAATGAATACGTCACAGATTTCAAAGTCCTTAATAGTGGCGGCAAACGCGAGAGCAACGATTACAGGACCAAATTTATGAGATATTTTCATTTCGGAAATAATAGTGTTGATGTACGCATCAGTTATTTCAATAAGGTTTCCCTTTCCAAACATATCGAGGAAGTGTGCTGCATTGTTAAAGTAGGCAACATTATGCGGTGCTAGATTCGGGTACTTTCCATAGCAAAAAGCGATTAGATCGGTGAACATTTCAGATCCTCCATCAAGAAATGGAATTGCGATGTCGGATGATTTGTTAAACTTGTCTTTTACAAATCCCATTTTTAAAAGTAGTGGAAATTTGTGCAATCGATAAATTTCATTTCCAAAATTCACAGAAACATCAGAAAATTCTCCCGATTCCAGAAGGCTCATTGCATCCATCCTTATTAAGCATTAACAGTTCAAATTAGATCAAAGAGAAAAGGGCGCGAATTACTTTCCAAGTTCTGCACGTGCAAACACTTGACAAATTTAACTTGGGCGGTTTTTTAATAGCAAACGTTGCTAGGACCAAAAAATGTCAAGGTCATTGTATTCACAGAGCTAATTATACTAAACAATAAAAACAATAAGAGCTAGATGGCAAAGTATATGTCTCAGAAACTAAATTTGTATAATTATAAACAGACAATTTTACCAGATTTTTTTAAATTCCTTGCTTCGTAATTAATATTAAATTTTGAACACGGCAGCAATAACGGTGGTAAACCAAATAAAACAATTTAATAGCAGCGTTTATTTAACACTGCTTTACTCGCCAGTGCAAATGTGCGTGAATGACTAATCTAGCCTATAAATTTACAACAACAAATAAATACAGAAATTAAATGCTACTGCAACTTTGAGATAGTATCGGTTAACAGTGTAATTCCATGTCGACGTATTGAAAAAAAAGACGAATAAGTTTACCTTTGACTGTGGCAGAGTTAACAAATTAATACAGAACATTTCGTTGCAGAATAAGGTCAAAGCAAATATTTTATCTAAGTTGTATTTATGTCGTGGTCTGGACTCAAAAATTAATTTGCGAATCACTATGCAGTTTAATTGACTTTTCTTTACGGTAAGCCTTAGCAAATTAGTCTTGTGGCTGAGTATGCAGCAGCAACTAAATTATTAAACTGTAGGATTATTAAATAAGTTGAGTGACTCGATTAAAATCATCTTGGGAATTGACTGTTAATTTCATGACAAAGTAGATGCTTTTAATAACTCTGCGTGCTAAGCTAAGCGTTTTGTTTATTGCACACAAATGGTCAAATGTTTTCCAAATTGATAATTATCATTTTCTGAATTTAGTTAATTTAAGAACTCTAGCAAGTAGAGCACAACATTGCATATTCTCGAAACCAAAACTAGCTTTCAGGTTTTCGCTCTTTTTAATATTTTGTATAAAGAGGTTTACCATTTTTTAGTAATGATAAGTCGCACTGAACCTTAATAATTGTTTTAAGGGCGTAGCTACATGTTATGTTAGGTTTCTTTATTCGTCATGAATTTATCTGTTATTTTAATGAAGGAAAAGGATTTCTCGCATTTAAACCGATTTATTTCTTTCATATTTCTTTTTTGAATTAAGTACGAATGCAAATTGCTAAGCACCGTTCAAGAGACGTTTGAAACTTGCTTCACAAAGACATAGTAAGCATTAATTGATGCCTTTCCAGCCAGAACTAGATAAGATTTCGCGCAGAGAGCGTTTGCAGCCATAGCCAAATTTTAGCAGATGTCAGACGCCAATGATAAATATGTTAACAGGATGCATGCTTAAACATGGAAAATGATGCTATACTTGTTTTCAATTTTAGTAAATAAAAATATCGAAAAAGCAATTTTTTGCGAAGAAGGTCATGCCCCACTTCAGCCTCTAATTTAGACATTTTAAATAGGTAGTCAGTTGGTAAAGCAGTATGACGTAAAAATAGTAGCCAAAAAACAGGCTTTTGCTCAATCGAAAATTCCTCTAGCATTCGCTTTTGTGCATTCATGTTTTTTACAAATAGGCAGGTTAGAAAAAAAAATACGAATAAGTAACACTTCAATAACAATAAAAGAGGCGTCCTAAGAAAATTAATGGTCGAAAAACAGCGAACGTCAAGCAAAAGATCATTACATTCAGGAAAAAACAAGCTTTTCCATTGTTCTTTACGATTAATGGTTCCTACCTTTATAATTGCCCCTCGGATATTCTCAGAAATTCTAGGAATTTAATTTAGTGTGCCATCAGACGTTACTTTGCGATTGATGACATTGCTCCAGAAAAGCTGTAGGTTAAACCACTCTGGCAGGACCCTCAAAACATTTTTTTGTATTGGGCTCGAAAAAACACGGCATGACGTATTTCTTCGTAATATCTCCAAATCGTCAACATTCGAGCATTAATCACGAGACATTTTCCAATCATTTTCTAAATCATCAATCCAAGACTAATGAATTTATTCGTGGTTTGGCACAGATATAGAGGTTTATCGTGTGCTGTTTTCGCTTAATGACTTGGTCGCTAGCAAATTAAAATGGTGTTCATTTCATCAAACCTGACTCATAATGTTCTTACGCGAAAGTGATATTCTTTTCATTTATTTTGTTATTTGCTAGCTAACTTAACCTACTAAAAGTGCAGCAAAGTTACCAACTTCTAAAAAATGCGCCTTTATTTGTCTGGGTGAGAGAAGCTGGTATCAGCTAACGAAGGCTAGGAATGTTCGGCCCTAAAATGTGGACTATCGTGCGATTCGTCGCAAAGTGCTGTCGCTTCCACCAAATTTGTCTGCATACTTTTTTTCAAAAATTTTTATACATATGGAAAAACTGTGTTGTACTCTGGCTAATTTCAAAGTTTATTTTCGTAGAACTGCCAAAAGTTAGATAAATTCGTGCGCTCATTTGATAACCAGTTAATGGGTGTTTTAAGGGAAGAGATGGGGTTTGACTTAAAGCTACTTATTAAGAACCAAACGCAATTTTCCTTTTTCGCATGCGTCTCTTATTTTAGCGATAGGTCACGCTTTTTATTACAAATGCCAATTCTTAAAAAACCAATTTCATTTATATCTTTTAAATCAGGATAGAAAACAAATATAACTGGTTTAAATAAAAGTACACAAAAGTCACAGAGCAGCAAAAAACCTAAACCTAATGTTTTTAGTAGTCACAGTGAAATGTTTACGACCGTAATTTCAGGATTTTTGCTACACGATTATAAAATTTATGAGTTTTATGAATATTTGGTCACTGACTTTGGTTTTTGGGGTAATATAGGAAAGCAGTGACGTTTTGTTGCATAATGTAGCTTATGTCCTTCGCATTGGTTAAAGTATTTAAATTCACACCTTTAAAAGGATGAATCGTTTGGACCTCCGTCTTAAAGGTTTTAACCAAGTCATCGGTAAACCGCGCATGTCATACATTTTGCTCCGTTTTGCGTGAGCTTGGTGTGTTGGGTTAATCGGTGAAGATTCAGTAAGTTAGACCTCTTAAAATCAGTACTTAGTAAATTTGCCTTTGTCGTAGTTGCTAACCTCTTAAATTCATATTTTAGGTTCGCGATTCTATAATGCCAAATAAATCAAAAAAGCAGGTGCGTCGGAGGCTATTCTAATATTTTTGTTTTTATTTTGTGATCTTAACTCTTTTCTGATACCTAAATTCAATGCGTAAAAAGAACACCATTAAATAATTAATATTTCTATTCACAAGTTTTCGTTTACGCCGTTATATTTGTCGTATTTTCGTGTTAGATATTATTGTCATGATTGCATTAAAATTTCTGAGCTGTGAATGGTATCATAAATTTTGACAAAATGATGTTTATTCGATATAAATTCCGGTCACATTTTAGGCTAAGTCAAAGGGTTCTCCTACTGAAAATGGTGAAAAAGATGGACAGGTCGCGCCATCCACTTCTTCCGCACTTGAAGAAGCTGTCAAAACTAACGAAGCTGAGCTACTCAAGCAGTTAACTAACGTCATGCTCACATCGCCTCGAAACCTTCCAGGTTTAAGTAATGTAAATCCTCCCAAAAAATCCAAAGAAGACTACAAATTTTGGAAAACGCAACCGGTACCAGACCTGGGTGAGTTATTTGCCCCCTGTTGAAATCTTGTGCCTTCAAGTCGATAACCGCCTTTTTTTATGAAAGTCATTGTCGGCGTTTTTCATCACAGGTGAAGAAATCACACAGAATGAACCGATTGAACCCGATGTTCCTGTCTCCCAGATCCGAACTGAGAGTTACAGCCTTCCTCCGGGTTTCGAGTGGTGTGACCTCGACCTGAATAGCCCCACAGAGGTACCTTTTTTCTTCAAATCGTTGCGCTCTGTTGTGATTGACCAAAAATTAAATCTTACTCTAATTCTAGCTCGACGAATTGTACACATTACTGAATGAAAATTACGTGGAAGATGACGACCACATCTTTCGATTCTCCTATGCTCGTGACTTCCTCAAGTGGTACGTAAGGCGGAAACGTTGTGTCTGGTTTGGTTTTGTAATTGTGTGGCAACTAAAGTTCTGGAATTATACTTTACCGTTCGTGTTTAATTCTTTTTTTTTTTCAAGGACAATGCAACCACCCGGTTGGCGTCCCGAATGGCACGTCAGTGTTCGTGTGGAAAAGAACAAGAAACTTGTGGGATTTATTGCCGGTATGCCTTGTGATATTCGGGTTCACAACATGTGAGTCATGAAAAATTTAATGATACACACATGTTAATCCTTTAAAACCCGCGAAATTTAACTTTTGTGATATTTAGGTCATGTCCGTTGATCCACTTCATTTGGTCATTAAGCTGTGTTAGTCGACTCGCAAAAATTCTAGCCATTCATTTCACCTAAAGTCGCTTTCTCTTCGCATTCTCGTGGTGTGGTTCTTTGCTAAAATCACATTCCTTCTGTTATTCGCTCCTTGTTTTTTTTTCTCGTCTTAGGACGAGAAAGATGGTTGAAATCAACTTCCTCTGTGTCCACAAGCGTCTACGCGACAAACGCATGGCCCCAGTGCTCATTCGTGAAATAACGCGACGCGTCAACCTTCATGGTATTTTCCAGGCCGTGTACACCAGCGGAGTTGTGCTTCCTCGGCCAGTTGCGACCTGCAGGTTTGTTTATTTCGGGCATTTATTTTCTCTCAAATATTGCTTAATGCCTGATTGCTTTTGGGGGATTTTGCCGATGAACTCAGGGGAACTGGCAGGAAGATAGCTTCAGAGCTGTTACCTGGGCGACGTATCCAATTCCTTCTTAGTGCTTGCCTCCTGTTTTTCAAGGTACTGGCATCGTCCATTGAATCCTCGTAAACTCGTTGACGTCGGCTTCTCTCACCTCACACGAACAATGACCCTGCAACGTGCCATCAAGCTCTACCGTCTACCCGACGAGAACAGTCTGCCGGGTTTTCGTGAGCTTCAGCCAAAGGACCTGCCTGTTTGTCGTCGCCTCCTGTCTGAGTACTTGGAGAAGGCCTGCAAGTTGCATCCTGTCTTCTCCGAGGAGGAATTCGCGCATTGGTTCCTGCCACGGGAGGACATCGTGCACGCGTTTGTCGTCGAGAAGGACAACAAGGTAACCGACATGATCTCGTTCTACTCGTTGCCGAGCTCGGTGATGCAGAACCCGCGACATTCGATGCTCCGGGCTGCCTACTCGTTCTACAACTTCTCCACCGCCACGCCGTTGTCCCTTCTCATGAAAGAGGCTCTCATCAAGGCTAAACAGGTGAGATGGAGCTGTTTGCTCCACTGTCATTGGTTGATGTCAGCATACGCTTGAAATGATTGGTTGATTCTTCGGAAGCAGCCTAACTACCACAACACCTGTATAACCCTATCAAATTGATAGCGTGACCAATTTTTCGATGTTTGTGCCGGCCAATCACACATGAACCATACTTGTTCGTTCTAGGGGTTATTTCTGTCGATCCATGATTCGTCTTCAGTTTTGATTGGCTTGGCGTGCATGGGGCAAACGCTGATTGGTCGAGTCAAGCAAGTCTCCGCAAATACATTATCAATGCGAGTATCGGGCATCCTGGCGAGTGTAGGACATTTTGCGTGATTCGAATTTGAATCTTATGAGTTCATTCAGGCAGTTGTGCTTTTTTGTTGGACTGCTTCAAGTGAACGATCCCTTGAATTAAATTTTAAACGAAATAGGCTATCTGTACTCGACTGAGCAATCAGCACTATTTCTCTCAAAACTAGTTCACCACTCTTTCCTGTCTTCTGCCTCCTTTGTACAGCTTGGCTACGACGTGTTCAATGCTCTCGATCTACTCGACAATTCGACGTTTTTCGAGGATCTTAAATTTGGAATCGGTGACGGCAATCTCCACTACTACCTGTACAACTGGCGCTGCCCCACACTCGAGCCTAAAGAGGTGAGTCATGCTGCAGAAAATTTCTTTATATTTCTCAAAAAATCCCATGATGTTATGCTGACGTTTCCGCGTGTGTTCACGTTTGCTAATACAGCCGGACCACGGGAATCGCGAATTCATATTGGGTGGCTGCAAAAGTTCATCCCCGTATTTCATGTGTAGCGAATACTCGCTCTTTTGACAATTAAGTTAACTTTTATGCCGAGTTAATGCCCCTTATGGTAACTGCTAAATTGCATTTCCGCCATATGAACTGCGACGATCATTTTTTGTGACGTTTACCTGGTTCATGCTCCTGTTGCGATACGGTAAACCGTAGTTTGGTCGATTTTGGTTTTGCCCTGAACGACTTTCCATGGACTTCATTCAAATTTTTTTTGAATTTTTACCAACTAAAACGACTGCTGATAGACCAAATGTTTGCCAATTTGATTTTATTGTGCTAGCTAAATGACTTGGCTACACTGAACTGTGTTTATACAGCTGCCTCTCTCCTCGCACGTCAACAAAACGAACCTTTCATGAATTAGGTCATAACTGGCGGTGTGAAATGTCGTCCGTGTATAGCAAAATAGTAAAACAAAGTGACTGGAAGCGTGAAATTTAGAGAGAGCCGGGTCAATGCCTAAGGTTGCTGGGCCCATTCCCTGAAATCATTGGCCCGTTCCCCGTAGAAGGATTTCAGGAGAATCCTTTTATTCGCCAACTCCATCGCAAATGTACAAATTTGGCATTACTTTTCACCACATGTCACTCAACAGACGCTGCCAAAATTCGGGAGAGTGCTTAAATGCAAATCCCTATTTCAGCACGCATCGCGGTTGTCTAACTTTGCCTCTCCGCTTTTGCATCTGTTTTGTGCTTTGCTGAGTAATTTGAATGGTAAAAGCTGATTCTCTCACTACATGAATCGTTCCATAGGGCTGTGCTTCCCTTCCCTTGAGTAACACGGATTGTATACTTTGTGTGGTTGTAACTCCTGTTAACAAGAAGCGTCTTTTTTTCTCTTTTCAAGGTGGGCGTGGTTCTGCAGTAGTGATGATTCTGGTCTTGTGTTTCGTCTGCCGCCTCTACCGAAGCCGCCAAGAACTAGCGTTCCTCGAACTCCCTCTTTCACTCCCACCCACCCCCTCTCACCACTGCCCTTCCGTCCACGTGACAAGTTGACCTTGGTACTGGCTGTGTGCGGTTGTGTGCTAGAAAGAGCAAGATGGTGTCTAACGCCCTGTTCTGTTGCATTCCCCTTTTGAAATTGAGCGTCTTGTTTGGTTTTTGGCAACGCTGGAACCCCCCGGCAAGTTGCATGTACGTGGATCTGTAATTAAACGTGGTTTTCAATGGCTGTTGTGACGTCTCACGCGTCTGACAGAGCGCGACATCGACGGGACTGATGGCGTAGGGCGTTGGAGGGAGCGTGGGCTAGATTCAGACGCTAACGCGGTTGCCATGGGTTACGCCTTGCTCATTGGCTCCCGAGGTCTGGGTGTGCGTGTGTGCGAAAAGAACTGGTGCCTAGAATCGGTCCAGGGTGGTATCGAAATTGTGGTATTAAGGGATCACCTATTGCTCAGCCTCTCAGGTGTTCCGCCAGCTTGTTCAACGGTTCTTGTGGTGGCGGTAGCTGTTTATTGGACGACTCAACTTAGCAGCGTCTGTGCGTGCGTTCAAGGTCATCTTCGCAACCAATGGGAACGTTGAGACAAAAGGGATCGATAAAAACGCATGGATTATTTTAAAAGGTGGCTCAGAAAGGTGTCGTGACATGTGTTTAGTGCCTTCACTTAATCGAGAAAGATTCATATTCTCTTGATTAAGCCTTTCAACGCAATTGGAATAGTTTTGACATTTCGCTGGCCCAATTTCTTGGAGGCCCAGCCATTCCAAGCGGCATAAAACAGCATTACATGCCACTGACTAACTGACGCCCTCCACTGTGGTCGGCACGTGGGTTTCACATCAGCTGTGGGCACATTTAAATGAAACTTAGACAATCAATACAGCTGCTTCTTGCGTCGTGTCCGAGCCGAGGTACGCATGTCCTTGAGTTGCGTCAGCTTTGACCCGCCGACCGAAATCACAGCCAGGTTGGCGTCCAACCAGGAGAACCTCCTGGTCCATCTAACATTTCCACACGTACAGCGACCTTCAAGACCTGGGCCTCAGTGGTGGACCGTGCTTCTTCCGTGTTGGACGCGTGGAAGCCTGCCCGTGGAGGACCCCGCGACCACTTGGTCGGAATTAGTTGCGGACGACATTGCAAAAGTCCAATTTGGCAAGTGGACTGCCATAGCGCCACAGCAGAAGCCCCCTAATTGTGATGTGTGGTTTAGAATTTTTAGGAAAAGGATCTGTATAATGATAATTCTCCACAGCCAATCAGCGCCAACCCAACCAACAAACCACAGCACGCCCTTGAGCACCTCGGGCAAGCACGAGGTGGCAATGTTGTCTGGGACGCGCCTGACAACCTACTACTACTGGGATTCTGGACGACTGGGTGGTGCGTATGATGCTAGAAAAAGTAGGGTCTCTGTTGTGGACGGTGGTGTCTACCTGATGCTAGCTCGGTCCAAAGAGAAGGGTGGTGCTACATGGTCAGAGAGGGACTTGGAACTTATTCAAAACACATCCGTCCATCAAAAGTTGGAAAACAAAGAGCAAAAGCCCGAAGATGGCGTGGTTTCGCCCTTGGCAGGTCATGAGGCCGGTTTGGGGGCGGGCGATGAACCAAGTAGTCAGCTGATCACGGAGACCGATGTTAAAATAAGTGATGACTGTCATGATCCGCAGTCTGATGCCAACACAGAACCATCGCCTGACTTGAGTATCGACGTGAACGTGAATTTGACGGCTGCGCACACGGATGAAGTTGAGGCTGAAGACAGTCAAACTGGCGTGGTTGATTCGTCCGAACTGAAGAAGGAAGTCGATGGTGAGGAGGAGGTGTCTGTCGATGTGGTTTACGGTTTGTGTGAGAGTAAGGGGAAAGATGATGGTGAAACCGAGGTGTTGGATTATGTGACAGGCCCGGGTTGCCCCAATCAGAGCCCAGAATTTTCCAGCACACCAATCAATGCGGCTGAGGATGAAAGTACTAGCCTGGGTAGGTAAATTTAGTCTAGTGGTGAGACTCATTTTGCATCCTTTGACCGATACGATGCCTCATATTTCCAGATGGTCGTTTTAGTATCTGTGATTGAAGTCGAGACGTTCCTCTCTATATTATATATTCTAAAATCCGTACAAAAAAAAGTATGTTTATCAGTAAAATTTTCGAAAATGTAAATGCTCGTCTCATTTAAGGATTTTGCCGAATATAGCAGCTAAACTATCACATTGGGTTTCGCCAAAACTACAATTAAACGTCACCAAGTCTGCCTGTGACGTTGCTTCCGCAGCCCCTAGCACATCAGCTTTCCCATGTTGAGAGTTTCAACGGCAACTTTTTATTCAGATTTCTGTAATTATCACCTTCATGAAATCGATAAACCCGATTCTGCATTTAGGTGGATCAGAAGTTCCGAAAGCAGCAAATTTGATAAGCATGAGCATGAGAAGGACAATTAATAATGACCTATCACAAGCGAGAACCGTACATCAGGCTGTTGTCATGTGAGTTCACGACGCTGATTGGGCTGCTCAATTGGGCTGCTCTCATTGGTCCTTGTCCCCGGTTGGCTGCTGACCATTCAAACGCACACAGACAAAGGATTGGCAGTGATTGGTGCGGACCAAAATGTCTGCGCCCTTGTACTTCACTACGACTCATGCGAGTTGACACTGTCTAGCTAAGTTAGGACGACACAATACGAAGGACAAACAAACTACGAACTCCACGCAAAGATAAGTAAGACAGCGTAAAGTTATCGTGGAATGGCGTAAAAATGTAGAAGTGTCAGGCACATCGTGGTTTTCATTAATTGAACGCCTTCTTTCCCAAATGTGCATCGCCGTGGAAGAGTGCTACCCTTCTGAAATACTCAAGACCCTTCCAGACAGAGAATTGCCTAGATTTCCGTGTGATCCACAGGCATATTCCAACACAGAATGTTCCCAGAATAGCAGATACATTTGCCAGCAAAAAAACTATTTAGTCTTGATAAACGACATTTTACTTGGGCTTGATTGGTCGGCCTCCATTTCCTGATAAATTCTAATGCGTGAATAGGAATTAGGCGTTAAATATTAGACTGTGTACTTTTGTAGAGCATTCCAGTGAACAAAACCAAAGCGTTGTGGAGAAAGCTACTAGCACACCCCGATGCGATATCTCCAGCGACTGCCAATACTGTGATAGTGTTTCTGAGCAAGTTAGAGACGACTTCTACGAACTCCAGGCTCGCATTCGAGCCATGACTGACGAGCAGTGGGCTAAGGTGATTTCGATTATCTTCGAGGATTAGACGCTGGAACCGGTCTTAGGGGAATTTGGCGCCAAGCATGGTTGTTTGTACTAAACTGACTAATACATAATTTTTAACTCATGTTTACCTGTGGTACTATAAACCAAAAATAAGTAATTAATGACTCTCCGAATGTACAGGACATGGTTTTTTGGTAAAATTACAGTGACGTAAAATTTAGGCGAAATCGATGAATTAGCACAATGTTTTGCTTTCCCATGACTTAGTTAAGGTCTGTGAATTTTGAATAAACCGCCTCAAAATTATTCTTGATCATAATGCTGCAAAGAAGGCAGCGATTTACAGAAACTCTATTAAAAAAATATTATCAGCTCTCTAACAGCTGACTTAAGACTAAAACTAAGACATCGAATTTCAGCAAACATTTACTTAAATCTATATTATGATTAATGGTGTCCCTCGGCTAAACCAGACGGAAATGAATTCAAACTGTCCCCAAGAAACATTGATGCGTCACCTTTTGCTTTTATATAAAGTAAGGAGTGTGATCTTCATCATTAATTCGGAGATATAACACAACCCGATTTTGTTGCATTCGTAAATCTCGCCCCATGGTGGGTTCATTAAACGCTGCACCAGTAACAACAAATCTACTCCGAAAGCATAATGCATTTCAATGTCTCAACAAATTATTTTAAAATTTCCAGATAATTACAGTCACCTTCGAAATAAAATAAACGCGGGTGCACATATTTTGACATAATCTATTGTCCCAAATATGGTACTCTAATAAACATCGATCCTATGTGGTTTTTCACCTATTTACATCTAGTGTAATGTTGGAACCTTTAAAAATGTGGCATATTACTGCCATTTTTTAAAATATCCTATAGATCACAATGATAGCATGCAGTACAGATTACCAAAATCATATTATTGAAATTTCGGTGTTTTTATTTTAAGTCAACTGTTCATGCATGGCACATAGATTAGCGTCAAAAAAATTGGTGCGCACTGCGTCAACATCACCGTTACTCACTGATTATAATTTAAACCTGCCTTTATTTCCAGACCCATTAAATCAGAAACCACTACATAGTGTTGGGATATCTTTCAGCCGAAAACATTCTTCTATTAATTCCACAAACAAAATCGTCAAATTCTGAAGCAAATGAATTTTTGTTACCCTAAATAAGATCCAGATGCTAGTGAAAAAACCTGGAACATCTTAGCCATATATAAAATTTAGTTTCGTTAATTAAATGCTCATATTGTGATTAGAGTGTGAACAAAGGTAAATAAATTTCGTATTACAGAGTTAGGGAATTCTTATTTATAAAAATATTTTTAGACAGTATTTAGTCCACTTTTTAATAAAAAATTGCACAAGCCAAAAAGAATGGGCACAAAATAGATTTAATAACTAGGAAGCAGGTAGAAAACGAAAACGGTAAAGCACAATCAATGTCCAAATCTATTCCTTTCATTTCATGTTGTTAAGTTAATTTCTAAACATTATTAAGATATTGTAAAAACTTCACTGGAACTATAATCTATATTCGCAAAAGTATTCGTAGTGAAGGGATTTGTTATGGTTAGTTAAACCAACGCAATTGCTGAATCCGGATTAAATTTTAGTGGCCAGGGTAGTAATGTATGATATTCTTATAGATATATATTCAGATTATTGGAAATAGTATTTTTACTTATTGTGCGTTTTGTTGTGATATAATAGAATTTGCAACACCACAAGCGAAAAATATAGCAACCTTTAGAATTATTTTAGTTTGGTCCATCATTTATCTAAAATTTGATGTTTTTCGATTTAGACATTTCATTCATACCAAAAGCAATAAATGAGGCCTTAAAACACCAACAAATTACCCTAGTAACCTGTACTGCGACTTAGTGCTTCTGAAACTTGCAATAGACTGCGAAAATTAAAATTATAGTAAATCTGAATGAATAGTAACTGAAAATCCTCTATTTTGACGGAATTGATTTGGACAGCAGGTTTGACCGGTTGTTTTGAAATTATTTCGCCCGAAAATGTTCTCGCTTTCTCGGGTGGTCTCGGCCATAAGGTCAAAAAACCTATTTATAGAAGTAACTAAAAAGTAAGGTTTGGACCTAAAAACTATTTTCTAGGGCTTTTTCAACTCGGTGGATGCCCAATAAAGAGTTTGTAGATGAACAAGAGAAAATGTACAAGTTGCCGCCCGAGCAGTTGGATCCCGATATGTCCAAGCGCAGTATGTCTTCAGTTCTAGCCTTATGCACTTTTTAGCTAATATGTTTAACGTGAGACACTTTGAGGTGCAATCCGTTCAACTTAATTTCGGCCCTCAACACCCTGCCGCCCACGGTGTACTTAGGCTGATTATGGAGTTGGACGGTGAGGTATGCCACATTAGGTCTTAACATACCATGAAAGCTTGTCATTCGCTTAGATCCCCACGTTGGGTTTCTTCATCGAGGCACGGAAAAACTCATGGAATATAAAACCTACACACAAAATCTCCCTTATGTGGATCGACTTGATTATTTTAGTATGATGTCCAGCGAACAATGCTATTCACTGGCTGTTGAAAAGCTACTTGGTATCGATATTCCTCCGCGTGCCAAATATATTCGCAGTGAGTTTGGTTGCCGAAGATTGGTCATAATTTTCCTTATATTAACATTATTATGCCATCATGAATCCGTCAGTTGTTTTGTTGTAATACTCTATTGTTTACTCGTGCACTTATTTAGCAATGTTCGCGGAGGTAACCAGAATCCTAAACCACTGCTGTGCTCTCGGTGCTAATATTCTTGACATGGGTGCTATCACGCCATTCTTCTGGTTGTTCGAGGAGCGTGAGAAGCTGTTGGAAATGTACGAACGCGCGTCCGGAGCACGTTTTCACGCCGCCTACGTTCGCCCAGGTGGAGTCAGCCTCGATATTCCTCTGGGCTTCATGCAGGACCTTTACGAAATCATAGAGAAACTGCCACAACGTCTTGATGAGGTGACAATCGTTGTACTTTCGTGGCTGGTCTTAGCTTCATCGAAGTGCACTGCAGTAATCTTTTTCTAGATAGAAGATTTGCTTCTAACCAATCCATTGTGGACTCATCGTACCCAGGGCATTGGTGTCGTTTCGGCCCAGGACGCCATCGATTTGGGCTTCACTGGCGTCATGCTCCGAGGTTCTGGTGTCCAGTGGGATCTTCGTAAGACGCAGCCCTACGATGCTTACGAAGACATGGATTTTGACGTCCCAATTGGTGTCAACGGTGATGTGTACGATAGGTAAGGTTGATCATTAATTGAAACTTCGTCTGCAATTATATGGAAATTCATCAAATTGCACTATTTACCATTCGTCGAATGTAAATTTCATGTTGGTAATCTAGTGAAAATTCTTTAAATAAGAAAAATTAGTTGTGAACTCATTTTACACATCTTGGTAAATAAATCAGCTTCTTTTTAAACTAATTATCATTATATCTTGATAGGAAATCCTTTAAATGTTCCGTGTATGCTTGCAATTAGCAAATCCCCCTGCAGCCAATATCTCTTCACAATTTACTCCTTGTCTTTAGGTTTATGATACGGATTGAGGAAATGCGTCAGTCCTGTCGCATTATCCATCAATGCCTCAACAAGATGCCGCCAGGCGAAGTGAGAATCGACGACGCCAAAATTGTGCCACCCAGACGAGCGGAAATGAAGAATTCAATGGAGGCCCTCATTCACCACTTTAAACTCTTCACTGAGGGCTACAATGTAAGCGAACACTTGCGAATTTTGGGCTTTGATGGACTCCAGTGGTGTTTCTTGGGGGTTTGTGCTTTGAATAGTGTTGCTACAACTACCCCATGCTTTAATGAAGGCGTATTGGCACTTGGGCGCATTCCGTTAACCACGTTTCTCATCAAAAGCACCAGTTCTTGGCCACGTCAAATGCGAGCACTTGAAGGATTGTAGCTATATTTTGGGGTGTTCTTCTTTAAGGTTCCTCCCGGTGTCACCTACACGGCAGTTGAGGCTCCAAAGGGCGAATTCGGTGTCTACATGGTGTCCGACGGAAGCAACATTCCCTACCGTTGCAAGCTGCGCACCCCTAGCTTCGCACACTTGGCGGCTGCCAATAAACTCTGCAAGGGCTTCTTATTGGCTGATGTTGTTTCAGTTCTGGGTAGGTCTTGCTCCCTCTCTTCCGTATCCCATTAGATGTCGTGGTGTGCTGGTGAGCTACTTCTGCATCTTTTGGTGTTATGATCAATCACCCACCAACCCATGTTGTGCTCAACGGGACTCCATCCTTCTTAATCTGTTTTGTTACTTGCAGGCAGTAGTCGTAAAGGCCATTTACTCGTCCCTTGTGATATCCCGGTTGAGGCAATCGTAAATGCCTTGCAAAATTTTCGACCGCCTTTTAGCATACCAGCTACAACCCTGTATTAGTCCCTCTCTTTCCCTGCTGTACCTCATGATCAGTTGAGGCATTTGTCTGAGACATTGTGTTATGCATCCAAAACTGTTTGGTGCATTTAACGAAGTTTATTTTTTTATATTTTCAGGTAATTTGGATATTGTGTTTGGCGAGGTGGATCGATGAGCACGTGACTACAACACTCATTCGTATAAATAGTCAATTTCTTTGACCTTATGTAGCACAATTTTTGCTAATCCCCTCCTCATTACCTTCGAGATGTTTGCTTCGATAAACAGTAGTTGTTGCCTGGTGATTGTTTTTGGATGGGAGAACACACCGTGGTCATTTACGGCGTTGGGCGTTTTCTCAGCTACGCTTGCTTCCCTAAATTATCGCTTAATTTCATTACTCTGTCACGATTATTCCCATCTGTGCTAGTGTTTGAATCCTGACTGTGCTCCCTCCTTGTGTAAAGATGGGTGATCTCTCTTGCTGCAGTTTTTTACTTATTTTTGTGAACATTACAATCGCAAGTGGCAAAAGAGGGCAACGTCCGGCGCGTAGTTGTCTCTCAGAAATATCTTTTGGTAAAACACGCTTTAGTTTGGAAAAATGAGACCGATTTTCAAGTGAATAAGACCGGTCATGCTCAGCTCTATTTCTTCCGTAACTGTACAGGTTGTCACGCTGTCATCCGGTCCTCTCAATCACTCAACTGCAATTGCTTGAAATCTGTACAACTCTTGGAAGGTCTAGGGTTTATCGTTTCAGCTAATTAACTTACCGAAGTTCCTGGAAATGGACGCAGTCACAGTTGCTAAAGCTTGCAAAGCCCCCACCTAGCCATGCGCTGAATAAAGCTAATTCTTAAAATCTCAACCATTACTATATCTAAACGGTTATTTGGGTTTTTCGAATTCAAAACCGATTCACAGTTCGAGGTACAACACATCGATGTGTTAAATTGCATCATTGTTTTAAATGGAAATTTTTAGATTAACTGAGTAGCAAAGCACAATTTTTTTTATTAGATTGTACAGTAGATTCCCTTTCCAATTTCAAGATAAATGGAAAAAATGTAGAATCACTTGACAGATGGAATTAAATTCGGGATTACATCATATCCGGATAGCTTATCTTGATTTGAAGAAGTTAAATTGGTAGGCTTAGGTTCATTTGAGACATACCGATGTGCTATATTTATTGAAAATAAACAATTCTAGGATACATATCAAATGGACAATAAGATGCCTCGAAATTCAGCAAGCAGCGTATGTAACTGACAAAAGGATTAGATTTCAAACCAAAAGTGCACGTTGCTCTATGTAGGTTTTTTTACAGTGCTCACAGTTATTTATTGAGTGATGCTTTCTCTTTAGGTCGAACATACATGAAACTAGTTATTTCACCATGAACAGCGAAAGAAGCTTTCATCTATCGGGCACTGCCACTTCGTGATGTAGGGTTATACTGGTAATTTTGAGACAAAACCCTTATAAATCTGTATTATTTAGACGAAAATAGGATTTTAATCGCAGTTGATCACCACCAGAATTACATAAAGGTTAAAGCATTATTAGCTATTTCTACTTCAGTGTACTTAGTATTTGTCACCCACTTATTAGGTGTTCTGAATACAACACTGCGATTAATACTTATCACAGAATTTTTTCTATGTAAAAGACCTCATAGTGGGAAATAGTTCGTTCCTGTTTTTAAATCGATATCATGTTATTTATATTTAGATTTAAAATAACGAATTTATGTGGAAAAAAATTTCGACTTGAATTATGAGATTAGAATAAAACTAATTACTATCCAGTATTTTTTCGCATGACTACAGGCCTTAAACACTCGAACAACAGTAGAAGCGTAAGCAATGCATCTCGAAAAAAATTAACAGAGACTTAAATCTGAGGTGGAAAGGACTTCTGATATAGGCTGGTAAATGAATATGGGCAAAGCTGCCTAACGTCGGAAAACAGTGAATATATACTTTGCTAACAATGAACAAAGAATATGCATAAAATGTGGAATTTGCTTAATTACCGGATTTAATAGCCTGACGTCATATTTTACACATATCTTGGAAAATAATTCAAAAATGCAAAGACCATCTGCAAAAAATCTATGATTTCTTACAATAATAGTTGTGCATAGAGTAATTTTTTATTTCTTATGACTAATTAGTGCCAGTTGGTGCTATAAGCATTGTTATAAAGTTGCAACTTAACCACTTGTTTAAACTGACAGCACGATTCTAGTTTCGTAAGCGCGTTGGCTATGTCTTTCCTCCGCTCTGTCGTACCTCTTGTGATTAAAACCCCGGGCTCGATTTTCAAGGTACTTGGTTCCGCTTGGTTTGTGTGATTATGTGTTGTTTCTTCTTCTACTTGCTCTGACTCGTTTGTGGTCATCTTACTGAATATGTCGCTCGCTCTGTTTCTTTTTGCAGCCGTTTATGTGTACTCACATCGCTTTTTCTCATATTTTTAAATGTTATGCGTGCTTCTGAAATGAGAACGAAACCCAAATGTGCTAATTTTTGCATGGATTTAGAATCCGTCGATATTTTAAAACCGTCTGCTCCATTTTGAGCTGGCGTGCTAGTGCGTCAGCCAATCTTCTTTATCTGTACTCCTATAGTATATATTTTCAGGCTGCGCCACTGGTAACGAATGCAGTACGCCATGTCTCGACCTCAAATCGGCTATTTGCTCAATCCCCCGAGTTTTCCAGCATCCTTGAGGAACGCATTCTAGGCTTATCACAGCAAGTGAATTTGGAGGAGACTGGTCGCGTGTTGAGCATCGGAGACGGTATCGCTCGTGTTTATGGCCTTAAAAATATTCAAGCCGAGGAAATGGTGGAGTTCTCTTCGGGTTTAAAGGTAGCACTGCTTCTTTTTTGTTGATTTTAAGCTTCTAGGGCATGGCCCTCAATCTGGAACCCGACAACGTCGGTGTCGTCGTTTTCGGCAATGACAAGCTAATCAAGGAAGGTGACATTGTGAAACGCGCTGGTGCCATTGTCGATGTCCCCGTCGGTGAGGAGTTGTTGGGGCGTGTTGTGGATGCTTTGGGTAACCCCATCGACGGTCTAGGGGCTATCTCTGCAAAGAAACGCCAGCGTGTCGGCGTCAAGGCCCCAGGAATCATTCCTCGTACTTCGGTCAAGGAACCCATGCAAACTGGCATGAAGGCGGTTGACAGCCTTGTGCCAATCGGTCGTGGTCAGCGTGAGTTGATCATCGGCGACCGTCAGACGGGAAAAACGGCAATTGCCATCGACACCATCATCAATCAAAAACGCTTCAATGATGGTGCTGATGAGAAGAAGAAGCTGTACTGCATTTACGTGGCCATCGGTCAAAAGCGCTCGACTGTTGCCCAGCTGGTGCGACGGCTCACCATCGCTGGCGCCATGAAGTACACCATTGTTGTGTCAGCGACCGCGTCTGACGCCGCACCCCTGCAATACCTAGCACCGTACTCTGGTTGCGCTATGGGAGAGTACTTCCGTGACAGTGGCAAACACGCGCTGATTATCTACGACGATCTGTCAAAACAAGCCGTGGCCTATCGTCAAATGTCTCTTCTTCTGCGCCGTCCGCCAGGACGTGAAGCCTACCCCGGTGATGTCTTCTATCTGCACTCGCGTTTACTGGAGCGTGCGGCCAAAATGAGCGATCAATACGGCGGTGGATCTCTCACTGCGCTGCCCGTCATTGAAACACAGGTACGTTAAGACATCTCACTCCTCCCTGACTTTGCATCTAGGCTGGTGATGTGTCTGCGTACATCCCGACGAACGTCATTTCTATCACGGACGGTCAAATCTTCTTGGAAAACGAATTGTTCTTCAAGGGCATTCGCCCTGCCATCAACGTCGGTCTGTCCGTCAGCCGTGTCGGTTCTGCCGCCCAGACTAAAGCCATGAAGCAAGTGGCCGGCCGCATGAAGTTGGAATTGGCTCAGTACCGAGAGGTCGCGGCTTTTGCCCAATTCGGCTCTGATCTGGACGCCACCACACAGGCTCTTTTGAATCGAGGTGTTCGTCTGACCGAACTACTAAAGCAGGGGCAGTATGGTAGGTTTTATTAGTGGGCTTTTTCTAAACTTGTCATATTTAGTCCCCATGGCGATTGAGGAGCAGGTCGTCGTCATTTACGCCGGTGTCCGTGGCCACTTGGACAAGATGGACCCGTCCAAAATCACGAAATTCGAGCAGGACTTTTTGAAGTACTTCCAGGCCAACCATCAGGACATCCTCAAGACCATAAGAGAAGTCGGTGAGATCTCCCCGGAGCTGGACGAGAAGCTAAAAACCATCGTCACGGACTTCTTGGCCGGTTACCAGTCGTAAGTCTGGAATGCCCGCCCGCCTGCTCGCGACTTCAAAACCTGGTGGCTCTCTCCTAGCTAAATAGGTTTTGTACACAAACCATTAGTTACCTTTTAAGAAATATAGTATTGTATTTTGCGTCCTCTCAACTTCCATCTTTGCGAATAAATTGTGATCTTATTTGCGCGTGTTTTGCCTATGTGAATTCGGTTCCCGAGCGGAGCCTGGAAATGCCAAGCCACAGCCGTAGCTATGTCCTTTGACTACGCAGCCTGACTACTTTAATCCTTCAGAAGCCACCTAATCCGCCACCTAGGGTTTACGTGTTCGGATTGACGTCAAATCTCGGGCTGCTTACTTCGAAGTCACTCAACTCATGGTGCTTGATCGGTCGGTCGTTCGCACTAGTTATTAAAGCAGTTTTGTGAAACGCTAGTGATCTGGTCACCTCATGTTCTGCAATGCGGCCTCCAACGTTTTAACAATCACACTGGCTAATTGGTTAACCGCTGGAGCACGTAGAATTGGCGCCTAGGTTTGTGCAGACGACCCGAACTAAATGCCCGTCAGCGAATCCCCCTCTCCCCCAACTGCGCTTTTTCTATTGGCTATTTTGTCTGACCCCAACCTTCACAATTTCGGAGGTAAACCGTGACCCTCAGTCACGTATTGTGTCCAATGAAAAGCCGAGAGCTCACTTTTCACACAGCGCAAATACTGGCCACAGACAACCGCAGCAATCTGATTTGCGCACAAACTCGTCCAATGTCCTTGTCACCATCGCCACAGCCAGAAACAAATCTCCAGGAGACACTGCTACCACACCCGGCTATCAAACGTCACTCCACTTCCACAAAAAACGGACGCTCCCTCGACTACACTACTTTGTGGTTATTGGGCGTTCAGCATCATGGATTGTTAGTGTCTGTGCAGCTCCCTGACCAATCACAACGAGGTGGGCATAAAGAAGACGCCGTGGTTACTCACGCTAGTAGAGATCGACTCTCTTCTCCATCCTACGTGCACTATTTACAGACAAAAATAGAAAAAGAAAAAAACGCTACAACATTGGAAATGTCGTGGGGGGCAGGGGGTTGGAGGGTGAGGGTTGGAATCACGGACGAAGCGATGACTTCGGTTGGGCGTCCAGCGCCTCCGACCAGAAGGCCTTGCAGATGTCGTAGAGTCCGAGGAATATGGCTCCGCCCACCGACATGATGCCTGTCCGTGGCAGGAGCCCGGCGAACCACCTGAAATGGAGGAAGTGGAGGGAGGTCAGACGTCACCGTCAGAAGCAAAAAACTGCCGCGGAAACCACCAGGTAGCCACTGTAAGCATTTGGTTGGGTATTCGTTGCTCCAGGTCTTTGTACTCGGTTGAATCGCTGCATTCTTCGACACACTGACAACCCCCGCCTCCGCCATCACTCCAGCGCGTGTGCCTCTCACTAACCACCAACTACTGCTGTCACACACACACACGCCGACAGCAACCGAACTGGCGTGTCGCCGGTCTTACTGAAAACATTCCACATGACGACGCCTTCACTTATAGAGAAAGACTCACCCCGTGAAGCCGGCTTCCTTGTAGATCACCTTCAAGGCGGTGGAGATTCGACCAGACGAGAGGGGACTAGATCGCTGCAAGACAAGGCACACACCCACATTTAGAAGTCAAAACTGGACTCTACAATAAAATGGGGCGCTAATAACAGGTACGGTTCAGGTGTCTACTTTGACAAGCGTGGCAGCCGTTATTGGCAAAAAAAACTAACTACTTAATTACAGATAGTAGCACATTCAGTTGCACATTACCGAACATTTATGACATACACATATAGTATGATAGTCGGGTAGAAAGAAAAAGAGGATTTACGTAAAATGCTACCGTCTTCAGAAAGCATCGATTCTTGCCTCGAACGTGTCCAACGTGATTAACCTGATTTAGTCGCAAGGTAAGGTTAACCTCCAACAAAACTAACGCTGTTCAACAGTCCGACACCTTCGATGATAACAGAGTCAGTTACGAGGAGCTAGCAACACGTTTTAGTTGTTACCTCGCTCAAGTTTTCTAAACATTGCTGTCACAAAACCAACTACTTAATTATAGGAAGTAGTAGGTATGTGTAGGTGGGCAATTTTCGACAACGTATATAACATTTCAGTGAAAAAAACCGCGACAGTCTTGCCAATGACATTGTGCTCGAAGAAGAAAATACGCGATGATAAACTGAGTTTGATGCATAAGAAGCACTATTCGAGGAAGATATGCTTAATACGGTGACACAAATTCCGTTGCTCCCTGAGAATATCGAATGGTGCATTCATTGGTTCTGCACTTTAATAGAGGCGATTTATTACCCTAAACTAGAATTACTACTAAATAATACGAGTAGCAGAATTCGCAAAAGCTGCGATTATCGGCGCCTTATTGAAGCAACTACGGCGAGCATGATGCGCCTCTTGGCCACGAACAACAGAGTCCAGTAATTCTAAAGTAGCTCAACTACTGATTTACAAGAGTAGTAACATTTGTTGCAGCTGCAATAATCGGCGGCACGAGATGCTTGTCTTGGCCACTTCCAGTGGCGTGGTCACACTGCCTGCGACCACACCAGATGTGGGTACCCTAATTCTAAACTATTCACTACTCACTACTAAATTAAAATGAGCAGTAGCAATAGTCGCGGCTTAGATTGCCGGCGCAAACTACCTCGGCGAGCATGATGCGTGTCTTGGCCACATCCAACGGCGTAGTAACGCTGCCCGCCACCGCGCCTGACAGAAATCCACAAGCTCCGAACTGGACAGTTGTGAGGGTGCTGGCACCATCGGGCAAGTCGGTGATGACACCGGCCTCCTGCATTCGCAGACGGTTTCGCCGCTCCAAGAACTGCTTCAGAAGCTCCCAAACAGGAAACTGGATGACCGCGCAAGGGAGGTCGCGGATAACCGTGCTCACGTAGCCCCGATACAGACCCATCCACCCCTGCAAGAACAAAATTAAACTCATTACTTTCAATAATTAAGTAATTAGTTTATTTTGGTTAAAGGTTATGAAACCCACTTCGTGCCTGATGTAGCTCTTGACGATGGATCGGATGGGGTCGAAGGGTCGGCTCTGCGCGGACTGCTTCACGTTCTCGCAAGGAACCCAAATGACCATCGAAAGCTACAAAGGAGAGCACAGGTCTGTCTGGTTAGAAGTTAAGCCTGAACTCTACAATAAAATGGGGCGCTAATAACAGGTAGGGTTCAGGGTTACAGACGTTATTGGCAAAAAAAACTAACTACTTAATTACAGATAGTAGGGACAGACAAACCAGACTCACAATGTCACCGACAGTCGTGCCAATCACAGACGACGTCCACATCGGCAGGCCCGCAGCCATGGAGACGTCTTTCGACAGCTCGTAGGCGTAAAAGAAGACAGCGGCTGAAATGTGAGCAGGGTTTATGGGATTAAATGACGCAGGGGGGTATTCAGCTGAAGGCCTTTTTGTGCCAGCGCTAATTACAAATCAGAAATGAGGGAATCGTTACCTATCGATTACAAGTAGAATCAAGTCTCCTGCGTTGAATGTCTTTTTCAAAATCGATAATTCCCATTTGGCTGGGGTATCAGTTTATCAAAAAATACTGTTTGACGCTGTTGTAGACATCTCTAATTGATGTTTAGGCGGTGAAGTCAAGAAAATTGCCAAGTGAATAAAAAAACGCCATTTATGATCATTCCCGGCAACACAACGGCATTGGGTAATTCAACGAATCGCGAAAGGGCAATGCTTAGCGGCTATTGGTTCCATTCAAGGTTGCCAATCAACCAATCAGGGAGCTCGCACCAGCATCCGAAGTGTAATTTCCGGAAATCTCGAGTTTGGATGTCATCTACTAAATAATTTTGAAACGCCGTGTCGAGATGAGACGTGGATGCGTGCTATGCATGAATTTCGGCGCAAAAACAAATCAAGATGGCGTACATGCCGGCGCGGAGCCGAGCAGGACGGTGGGGAGTCCGGCGAAGAGACGGAGACGTCCACAGGGCGTGAAGATGGTGCGAGACGCCGACTGCAGACGTGTCTTCATGGTGTCCACGGGGTAGAGCGCCACGTCCACGCAGAGACCTGCGAGGGCTCCCGCGCAAAATTGGACGCCTCGTTCGCGAGACACGAGATCCACCGACTACGAAATTAACGCACTCCCTTAGGTAATTGAGTAGTATGTTTTTTTGTTATGACTACGAAATAGGTAACATCATTAAGCGTTAAAGCAAACTCCAAGTGCTTTCCCACGGTCTTTGCGTAAGTAGCTACAATTTTGACTTTCATTCCAAGTTCCGTGAGTAGGCATTAACTCATTGGACACACTCTCAAACACATACTGAAAGAACTTCGATTTTTAATAACCAGAAATGCAAATAGAAAATCAATAATCGATTGGAACAAGGTTTGACATTGCCAAAAAGTCCAACAACACAGACGCAGGTAGCACAAATGCAAACCATGACAGCTGAGAAAGAAATGAAACAGTACAATGCACCGGTTTATTTGCACGATGACCTTGAACGACACATCTGATTGGTCTAATGCTCACAAGACCAAGGAGGGGTGGGTTCTGTACATAAGGACTCCTGAGAACAAAAAGAAAAAAGCAACAGCCGATTCTAATTAAATTGCTGTGCGCAGTTTGGAGGACATTGGGTCCAGCGAGGCAAGCCACATCGCCTTGGTGATGTCGTAGAGACCGAGAAAAATGGCTCCACCGAAAGACATTATGCAAACTCGAGGCACAAGACCGGCAAACAGGCTGAAAGAACAGCATAGACAGTTTGCATTTTAACGGATTTTGATTGGCTGCCCTAATGCTGATGATAGAGGACACACAATTCGATCCAACCAATAGGCGAACAGGATAAGAACAAGCCTTGACCAATGATATCTAAGAACGAAGTCGTTGTATTACCTATGACTGAGGTCAAAATATGGACTACTAACATGTTTCACAAGAATCTAAGGTCATGCTTAAGTACATGACCATTCACCTAGAATTCGTACTTCCGGTAAACTTTAACGACCTTAATTCCAGAACGACTGACTGACTCCATCGGAGTGCGCATCTAGCGAATACAACGAAAACTCTTCCTTGCTCGTCACAAATTTTCGACATTTCCACCAATCCCGTGATTCGCCCTAAGCCCATTCGTGGAAATTACTATCCGCTGACCTGATTGGCAGAGTAGTCGTGAGTGACGATTGGTCCATCATCTGATGCTTGGGGGTAATCTGGTTGGACGTTGTGCTAGCGAATTCACATCACTATTACGACTTCGTCTAACATGAGGTCTGGTGGTGGTTCCCTGCAGAGCGCAAAGTCAACCAAATCTCCACGTGAGAACTGTTTTCTCGTAAATTAGTAATGATTTACCACGAGAAAAGGATCTGAAACATTTCGGCACGACTTTGCCAATCAGACCGCAGCGATCGAGTTTACCACGACAAATACTACTCGTCTATGATGAGTATCATTAAGATGACAATGTTTTTAGTTGAAAAATCGACATCTACGGGTGTGGGTGGTTCGTTTCTTCTTCCTCAAGACTAAAACGTAGATGTAGGTTTCTTGTTGAAGATTAACATCTCCCTGAGGACCGACGGCCACCATATATACTACTCGCTTAGGGTAAGTAGTATTCGAATTTACCGAAAACAACGCGTGTGAATAGAAATAAGACGAACTTCGTTTCATCGTCGTCAAAACTAAATATGAGAATACTCTCCTGTGATTGGTTCGTCATTCAAGGTCAAACTTCTACCACATGAACATTAGAGAAATTGCATTCCGAACCTACCCGCGGACACCGCCTTCCCGATAGATGGTTTTCAAGGCGACCACGACGTTTCCCGAGGCCAGAGGCGTTCCTTTCTAAAATGCCACACACAATGCCGGACATTTTTGGCTTAAAAGAACACTCGATTGTGGCAAACACAGACGACCGAAGTGGCCAGCTGGGCAGCACTACTACTACTACTATTACTACTCATGCATACGGACTTCCGTGATTGGTTGACTAGTCTGCTACACACACACGCACATAGAGGAAAAATAGGATCGCGGGAAGTTAGTTACCTCGGCCAGCATGATCCGAGTTTTGGCGACGTCCATGGGTGTTGTCGAGGAGCCGCCAATCGCACCGGCAATCGCTCCGCACAGCGCAAACTGTTTCTTTGTCAGCGAAGAGGCACCGCCGCCGCCGCCGTCTGACAAACGATTGTGCCTCTCCATGACTCGCTGCGTCACAAGGCACAAAAAAAACCGTGAAAGTGGAGGAAAAACTACGAGTAAAAACACCGCGCCCGATTTCATTGGACGAAGTCAAGGTCGCGGGCGGTTATTTGCACCAATGGCTGATTAGGCGTGGAATAGGAGCGCAGCACAGTGTGGGGTGGGGGGTACTAACAAGTAAACAGTAGTATGCACATTTTTGCATGTTTTTTAAACTCACCTTCAGCATTTCCCAGATGGGATATTGGAGGAGACAGAACGGAAGACCGCGACACACCTGGCTCAAGTATCCCCGATAGAGACCGGCCCAGCCCTGTTCGAACAGACCAGAAAAAAAGTGCGAGAGAACATATCAAACTGTGCTCTAGTTAGGTAGAGTTGGAAACCAATTTCATGAATTTAAAAACGTGAAAATATATCTAATGAATAACCCTTAGGGCCTCTGAAACTACTCATTATTTGTAAGTAGTATATAGGAGGAATAAATGCAGTAATGACCAGCCGACTCGCCCGCTGCTGTATGACAGGCCAAGCATTGTATGTGTCAGACACGTTTTTCGTTGCAATTCAACATCAATACACAAGATATGGCCGTCGCTAGGATTACACAACAACATTTACAAGCCCTAAAAGCTAAGTCGGAAACGACGGCGAAGATAATGACAGAGAACACTGCTACGTGCGAAGTTTGCCGCAGCAACAGCACTCACTTCAGCCTGCAAACTCCGCGAGAAAACAATTCTGACGTTGAGGTTTGGTTGGCTCTGTGTCCTCTGCTTGATTGTCTCAACGGGAACTCTGATGATGCACGCGACCTACGAAAGCAAACACGAAACCTCTTGTTAGATGTTGCCGCGAGGGTGCTCGAAATTCGCCAACCGGAATACTTCCAAATACAGAACAGTAAGTCATCGACCAATCAGATCACTTAGGGAGGCTAAACCCTTCCCTCCCTCGTCCCACACTCTAATTATTGACTTTATCGTGTTTCAAAGGCATTCGTGCAATTACAAAGGTTGTCGTCCACATTCGGCCATAGTTTTAACTTACGGCCCACGACCAAAAACTAGTGCTGTTGCATACATACTGGCCGACGGTGTGATTGCATCTACGATAATTATCGCTAAATTAACGTAAACAGTCATGAATAGAAAACGTACCACTTCTCCAGCACATGCAGACGCCATTGATGACATCCATAATGGGGCCCCGAACGACAAAGTTGAACGCTTCACGGTCTCGTAGGTGATAAAAAACAGTGCGGCTGAATAAAACAAAACAAAAATGAGCAGTGATGAAGCAAAGCACGCGATGCAAATTTCCTCCAGGTAACCAACCACGCGAACTTTCGGGAAGGCTGGACGCTAGCCACACAGAACATCGCCATAGTTCTCTACATTGCGGTACATTCTGAAATTAGTATACAGCATCTAGACCATGAACACAACGGGATGGTTTACAATCGGACAGTGAACTCCACAAAAGCAAGCGAAATCCAACCGATTCTGCAGGAATTAACAATAACTAAACTCAAGGTCAGAAAAAGGAACTTACCACCAGGCGCGGAACCGAAAAGGACAGCAGGAAGACCAGCAAAAAGACCGAATTTGCCGCCAAGTTTCGGTTTCACCTCATGCGCAGCACTCTGGAGGCGAGTTTTTATTGTATCGATTGGGTACACAGCACAGTCGACACAAATGCCAGCTGTGGCCCCACCGAGAAACGAAGCAACGCGTTCATGGCTTGATAGTGTAGCGCCTGCCATGCAGATTCGCCTCCTAATGATTTACTGGAAATTACAAGAAACCCAGTAAGGACGTGTCGAAGGGTTGTTATCAAAAAAGATGTAGGTAGAAGGTCCCATTTGCAAAATAAACACGGGTTCGTTAAGGCGGAAAGTGGAGAAGAGGCAAGAGGAGCATAAAAGAAGCATGAACGTGTTCCGAAAGCTCAAAAATGTATAATCCAAAGTGCCGCGAACACATTATGCCGCCGAGATCTCTAGAAACCATGGCGCACAAGTCATGACTGAATGTGGTGATATACATGGGCAACCTCGGCGAATATTATTTACCTTAAAAAATCCTTCTATTTGCAGGAAAAAATTGAAGGATTACAAAAAAATTATTGCCTATTTAAAGAGTAGTTTTTGAGGTAATAAGTCGATATATTTTGAACGATACTCACTAAGGCCACAAAAAATCTCGAAAATAAATGTGACCGATAGTGTGAAATAACCCTAACAGTCCCTTACTCGAGGCTAAGTATGTCAGTTCCATCCACCCAACTGCATTTCAGATGCAGAATACTGAAAACAGTTTTAAAAATGATCGGCATTGTAGGGAAGCATTGCAGTACTAAATTTATTTCTTACTTCTTAGGGTAAACTGGTTCTAATTAACAGCAAAGTCTTGCTTTAAATATTAGTTTGAGGAAGCTCAGACAAATATCAAATCTGGTTTCTAATTTTGGCAGATAGGCTGGAACAAATAATGTGAAGCAAATAGCCCCCTCTATGCCTTAGTTTGAAAATCAAACATTATGCTATTATATTAAATAAGAGTAAAGAATGAGTTGTTAGGGTTAGTATGACGTGGCAACGCTTTCTGAATTTATACGAGGGTTACTCAGCATTTTATTAGCAAATTCAATTTACTTTAAAGTATTTTACAAAAGCCGATGTAGTGTTCAGAAGTAACGTCATTTAAAAATGTTGCGAATTTCCAAGTAATAATCAAAGTCAAATAGCGGCACTTTTACTTAAATTTTCAGGCAAAACAGAGGAAGTTTTTTTAATTAAGTTGTCAAGAAACTAACTTAGTTTTCATGTGGGGTTTACAAATGTTTCACGGAATTACAATTTGGGTGATGAAGTCGTTATATCCTATTCTGGAGTATGCAAATTTTTACATACTCTTGCATAAACGTTTGAAGGTGTAGGTGTAAAATCACCTAATACACACACCAGTTAACATAATAATTGTATGTCATGCATATCTGATAAGTTTTTGCAGAACTAAGTTTTTTCACAACTAAGCTTTCCTTTAAGTATTAAATAGAAATATGAGTGCTTTTGGGCAGACGTATTGACAATTCAAAAATATAAATTCGTCATAACTTTTGACCCAACCTTTATAATGCGTAAAATATACCTCAGCGACTGACCAAGTTATCTTGTTATCCCTGGAGCCCTTCTCTTTCCTACAGTTTAAGGATTTATTGGTCTGTATTTAAGAAATACATTTTCATAACTGCGCCTATACTTGGACACACCCAGTGACAAGAGTCAAGTTAAACCGACAAAAATAGATATTTTTAAATTTTAGAATCAAACAAATAAAGGTGCAAAATTAGCAATACCTCTAAATGTTAATAAATTCAAAAAAACTTATGCGGTGCTGTTAAAACAAGCCACAAGGAATTTAAAAATACTAATTGAAATTCGTAAAAACTTCTTAATAGGCAATATAGCTGTCTTTTAAACTTCCATGTACCCATTGTAGCGGTGATAAATGAAGCGACAACAAAGAACCGAGCCCGAAGACAATTAGATCTCTGTTTCATCAAGATGTCCAGTTTTCCATGCTCTGTAACAAAAAGACATAAATACTTGGGGTAGAATATTGTCATTATTGGTAATTTTCATTTTTAGGTTTGTTGGATTGTTGTCATCCTCACTGAATTGTCCAAAAAATGCCTTTTACGAAAGTGGACTGATAAATATATATCCAGCAAATGATCACAACAACGCTAAAAATAACCATTTGCGATCTTACGTTACTTGATTTCAATCATCGTGACTTTTTTAATTTCATGAATCAGTCTATCCTGTTTAAAGTCTATTTGGCAACTTCTAAATCAGCGCGTATAGATTTGGCAATTTAATTAACTCGATCCTACATGGAGTGTCTAACTTTTTAAATTGGTAGATTTCAGCTATTGTATATTGTGGCCGCCTCCAGCTTATTCCAAAATTCCATTCAAAACGTCATCGATGATTGAGATTTCCTCTTGAAATCCATTAAGCTACTGCGTTAGCATGTGTACTGCATTTAACATACTAGAGTTCGTTATATTTACCTCAAACTGCTTCACCGTCGCCTTGTCGAAAAGAAGTTCCCACAGATTGCATCGAAGCGCCGAAAATCTCCAACAGCATCTCGCGTCTTTTCCTTCTTAGTTCTCGACGTAGGTGTGCTTTATTTAGCAAAGGTTCTATGGTAGCACATTCTCCCGACGGAACGTGACATGGTTGAGGTGAGTTACAACTAGCTGATACCTGGACTTGCAACTCCGTTGTTACATCTTCAATCGATGTTTTTAATTGACTATCTCTCTCGTCCGCAAAGTCTCCGTGGTTTCGGCTAGAAGGCAGTGAATTTAAGTGTGTGCTTTCATGCAGCTCTACCACTGTAAATGCTTTTTATCAAATGCATATCATAAATAATCTGGCAATTACATGTCCGTATCACCTTAAATGTTATTTCTGGATTACCAGAGGAACTCAACACGTGCAAGAATTGTAGTAGTTTTTGCATGAACTATAAAATGTACATCAACGAAGACGAAATTACCTTGGTAGGCAGTCGTCCACCGTTCTCCTATCTGACAAAATGTCTCCACACTCATAGCTCGGACTAATCAAGCCCTGCCCACAGCCAAATTCCAGCGTTCTTGTGCAGTCACTTGCGTCTTCGCTAGTGCTGTAAGTACTATCAGTGGAGTTGATCTGTGGTGGCTGAATATGACGCTCTTCGCGGACATCGTTTTCCTTTGGTGCAGTTAATCTTGAAACACTATTTTGAATGATGCTCAAATCCATATCAGTCCATCCTTTACTTTTGATGCAATCAGAATGGCTCAGCAATAAGCAAACGTAGTTATTCATGACAGCTATTCTACTCTTTTTGGGGTTAAATGGTCTACTTAGCCGGCCAGAGTCCCAGTAGTAATACATTGTCGGAAAGAGTTCAGAATACGATAATTCATCATGGAGATCGGTGATACTTAGGGACTTTGGACTCTCTTGTGGCATAAGCATGGGCTTCATGGTCGCATGAGCCAGAGGGGCGGAGCCACAGAGAATAATCATCAAGCAAATTCGGTTATTTAAAATCCTCAACCAGATATTTCCATTATCAGGATTATATTTAGGCGACAGTCCAATCCAATCCCCCGACGGTGTGTACTTTGTTTTAATCTTAGTCAGCGCAGACCAAATAGGCCCGTAGTCGCCCGAACGCCTCCAAGTTCCAGTAAAACAAGATGTCACGGTTGATAGGCCCGCGAGTTTCGATTTGCGTTTTGGTGGTTTGTGAATTTTTGGGAAGTTGAGTCGAATAAATAGGAGGTTTTCACTGTGTATCATCCTTGCTGTTTCAACTCTTTCGGGGGGGTCAAAATTTACATAACACAACGGCATATTTCGCGACTCTGGCATTCCGCGCAGTGAGGCACACAGAATTATCGATTTTCTTGGCGTGATTCAAAAGTGCTTATTGCTTTAAATGAGACTGTTCCTTGGGCGCAAATTTTCAAATAAGGTTGACGATGCACATAGTGAATGATGTCATGCTTTTTTCTAATTGCTTTTTGTTTTAATATCCTGATTTTTTTAAAATACTATCCATTTTCCCCAATATTGGGTACCCGCAATAAAAAAGCAAGGTGCTGGGTATTTATGCACGTCTTTGATCCCACCAATTGCATTACTGTGAATCGCATTAATTAACACTCGTTATCCTAACACCTAGGTCTTAATGTCCGCAAATCTATGATTAATGTATCTGATGTATAAATACACATCTGAAAACGCTGCAATTGACACAGAGACACAAACTTGGTTGAGCTCCGAAGCAAATGGTTGTGTCTACGTCCTCTTAGGTCATTTTCTTCATCGTGAGTAGCAGGGAAGTTTAATCGGGCCAGAGTTAACTCAGTGGCCTCGGCGTGTTTAAAACCACATGTTGGAGCCTTAAACAATATAAACTACTACTAGTAAAGTGGTCTGACATTTTCTGTTCATTAAACAAATATATAGGTTCTTTTGGATCACATATAAATGTATCAACAACGGTAAGTGCTTCTTTACAAAATATACCACTACTTTGACTAAAAATTATTCTGACAAACAAAAAAAGCTCTATTATAAGTCAAAAAATATGCATAGGTTGCATTTTTTATAGCGACATTAAGCAATTTATGTTGTCAATTAAAACTGGCTGCTTTTCTAAGACATTAAGAGAGGAAAAATGACTTTTACATAGCCTTTTCTCGGTCGTATTGTTCTCCCTTTCGACAGTTCGTGGGTGATGCAACGGAGATGACAAACTCGTGATTTTACCCTTTCCTAGGTTTAAAGGAGTTATTAAATCTACACACGGCGCTACAAAACCGGATTTTGAGCTCCTGTTTACTTGACTTTGCATTCAACTAAATAATAAATACCAAGATGTCGGCTGTCTGCAACGTGGCTGCCCATTGCAGCAAGCTTATAAATTGTCAGCGTAAAAAATTGTTCAAGCATATTCAAATATAGGAACTTTGGTTAGCAACATTTTACCACCATCGTTTGCTCTCAGCATTCCTAGAAAATAAACTCTATCAAAAAATGTTGCTGTCTTATTCTTATAATAATCCGCTGGGATGTAAAAGTGCTTAAATAGAGGCTATTTTTTGAGAAAATTCCAGAATACTACAAGTAAAAAATATCTCATAACTGGAAAATCGGGAGTAGAAATTTGAGGTTAAATTATTGCATGCAAATAATTTTTTTGCAAATTCGTTCACAAATTCCATGTTCGCTCAAAAAACTGCCATTAATTGTTCACTTATTAAGAAACATTAAAATTGAACTCGGCATCATCTTTACTATCCAAGAACATTCCTCATTTTTATTATGTGCTTACATCCAAATTGAAATTTGTCTTATTTGCAAAAAAATGTCGTGCCCTCAAGGCCAAAATATGAGTTTTTCCATAAAAACTGTGATTTTTGATTTCAGCCGATTATTCACGAATAATTCGTTTATTTTAAAATAAGTTTTAATTCATGTGAGGAATTGTGCTGTCTAATAACAAATATCATTGCTCCGGTTCAATCAAATTATATTCTTGTGACGCGCGCCATTCGACCCACGCACGCCGGTCTGGCTTGTTCTTTGTCCTCCTCTCCCTTCCCGCACTCTCGCCTTCTTCAAGGCACTCCCGTGAGTCCGAGGGCGTAGCCAACCCCCCTCGAGGCAATTCCTTTCCCCACTCTAACCCTCCCTAAGCTCTAGCCCCCTGAGTTTGCATGCGGTAGTATGGAATACATCCGGTTCTTCCAGCTATTCTTCTTTCCTGTGCCTGGTAGCTAACCATGTTGATGTCGCTATCTAAGAGGGACGGGCTAATAGTCATCTCCCTATTTAGGTCCCCGCTCGGTAGGCGCGTTACATTCTGAAGCAAGCATTGCGGCATGTTTATACCAGAAAAAAATAGAACTAAGTCATCGGTTTTTGCTATCATAGTAACCCTGTCATGGCCAAGTGTTGTCACCAAGAAATTACTTGGGAACTCTAGCAATGGATGTAACAAAGTGTAAACTGCGCCACTTGGTCAATGCACGTCAGTCTGGAGGGTTTCGTGCTACATGCTCTGTAGGTCAACCCTGATCATCACATTAGATTGATCTCCCTATTCCAACTCGGCAGTCTAGAGAATATCAGGTGTCTTCCTAAAGTCTTCTGCTGAATTTTCTAGTGGTCAATCAAATTTAGTAAAACCTACCACATACACGAACGAAACAAGTGCACAATATTATTTAAAGCCTATAACAAAACTTAAAAACAAAATTTTCAAACCCTATTGGATGCCATTGTTAAATATCTGTTTTTAAACCTTTACTTTCCCACATCACCGGATGACTGCACGATTGCCAACTAATAATAATTTCCTATCACGAGTTTCTTGTAACTGTCACAACTTTACTCGTTTTCTATCACTTATATCGCGTGTTATCATTGCCCACCATTCTTTATAGCAAAACCCTTTCACGAAAACATTTACAACCAAAATTCAGAACACGCTAAAAATTGCAACCCATGTTATAAAAAAATTACTCACAGCAATACCCAGTGGATTATAATTATACCTTATGTTCCAAAAGACGTTTATCCATGTGTGTTACGTCTGATGCAACCCTAATTTGTGTACGAAACTGCACACTGACTGACGATGGTAATACAAATTCCACAAGCGAAAATTATACATTTTTGACACACAACTCAAGTTATTACTATCTTTTTTCAACATCATTGAGAAAAAAGTGCCATATTTTTTAGTAACAGTACTGAACTTTTCCTTACAACAACATAATTTTTTTAAATGGAAAGCAAACACCTGAAATTTTTTTCACTTTCACCACATTCTATTCATTTTTTTTCTTAAATATGTCAAAATAGACAAATCATATATGGCTTAATTTATTTTTTCAAAAAGCAGCACCACCTTTCATTGTTTTTTTAGTAAATGAATTGTTCTCTTTTGGCTGTACTGCAGATGTGTGAAATGTAGTTCCACGTGTGGCGCTCCACTTGAGTCGGTGTGTAAAATTACAATTTTTCTTTCTGATTCACCCTTAACAAATTTTTAGTAAACCATCTAATCTGTTTTTGACACCTGAATCCAGGGTTTAGTATATGCTTCACAAAGTTAACCACTTTAGGTAATTTAGTTGTAAAATAAGCCTATGATTTTTGAGGATGTTGTATACGCTCTGATCTCTTTACAAGGTGTTGCGAATGTGGACTACTTTATTAAGCTTGTGTGATTTACACTGTAATCTTATCTTTTTTCTTCGGCTTGCCAATGTGGCTCCAAATGTTCTTCATAACCACGATTTGATTTGAGGAACGGTTATCGGATATTGAGTGGCTCACTACATTCATGAATGCATATCTTGTCTATTCTCCCTGTAGCTTTTTATCAGACGTTGGCTATGCTTTTCTATGTGGAAATTATTAACTAATATCTAAAGTAGGGATTGTTCGCTCTCAACATGCAAGCTTTGTAACTTTTGTTGAACGAGACAAAATAATAAAATTATTAGCATTTGTACAAATAATACTGGGTTTTTATTCGGCACATACAATAGTTTGCGATAGTTTTTGCTTATAACCACTTTTTAACGAAAACAGAGCCATAAAATTTGTGACGATGTTACCTTGATTACTAATAAATTTTTCCGCAGTTAGGATCTAGGTAGGGTCAATTTCTTGTGAGCAGAATTGATGTTTACCCATTATTCCCTTAGCCGTTCATGATGTTGGCTCGTGAACAGAAGGCAGCACTATTTGCTGGTGCGACAGCTGGACTATGTGTTGATCTAGCTCTTTATCCCCTTGACACCATCAAAACGCGACTTCAGAGTATCTCACGATCAGTAAAACCGTCGGGGAGGCTTCATCTCTTCGCTGGCTTGCCTGCTGTCCTATTCGGGTCAGCTCCCGGAGGTGAGTTTACGTAAAGTCGTCCTCTGATAACAAGAATACCTGCTTATACCCTCACGCTCATTATTTGAAACTGTTTCTGCTTCCAGCGGCTTTGTTTTTCTTGGGTTACGAGGCCACAAGGAACAAAGCGACGCAAGTCGGGGCCTCGCCTTGGTTGTCCTCTATGGTAGCAGCAAGCGTAGGAGAATTGGTGAGTCTTGAAATTCCCTTGTGTGACCCGTTGGTAACACTTTTCACTCAAACAATTCGTTCCCCTCACCCACCAGGTTGCCTGCGTGGTTCGTGTGCCGTGCGAGACGATTAAGCAGCGCGCCCAGAATAAACCCCACGTCACAATCGGTGCGATACTCTCAGACACAATTCGAAGTGAGGCAAGTTAGCCCTATTTTCAAGTCTATCTCGTCCAAAATTACCCCCGCTTGTTATGCTTTACAGGGATTGAGAGGGATGTATCGCGGGTACCTCAGCACAATCCTTCGAGAACTGCCCTTCTCACTCATCCAATATCCCGTGTGGGAGGCCCTAAAGGTACGCAGATTGTGGCTGCGTTTGTGCGTAAAATCCGTCGTTTGCGGAGCCACTCTAGACATCCGTATTTTGGCTTCAGCGCCTTATGGAGCGATACAATCGCACTAGTCATCGACAGCCAGGAGTTGATGGAGCATCGAGTCTGACAAAGGTGCAGTTCGCCTTGTGTGGAGCACTTGCAGGAGCTTGTGCTGGGGGCGTAACGACTCCCCTTGACGTCATTAAAACACGGATTATGCTGGCAGAGGTTAGTAAAGCATCTCCAGTTAGTTTTTAATAACCTTTTGGGAAAAATTTCCCTTCTGAAAACTGGAAATCAACCAGACACACGGCCATCCTACGTCTTCAGAGCTTATAAATTCTTCTCTGGTAATCTGAAATGGCGAGTTTCGGTGTTAATAAGGGAGGCAGGCGTACAAACTGGTACGTGCTGAGGCGTGTTTGCAAGTATTAGACGCAGACGCTGAGAATAGAATTGAGGAAGGTGATTATGGAGGCGATGGATAACTCGGTAGACTGTGTAGGTGTGTGGTGTACCAAGATCCACTCCGTGGCCAGCTATTCTGCCGACTTGGTCTTAGGGTCACATCAAATAATTACGTTGTTTTCGTTGTTGTAGAAGGGTGCTTTCGCCACGAGTAATGTTCTTACAGTTATGCGACTGGTTTACTCCGAGGCGGGCATTCGAGGGTAAGCATCGATTATTTGTTTTAATTGATAACATTGTTACCCGTTTTTTTCGTTTTGGAGAAATCGAACATCTGAAGCCATTATTAGTCAGGATTCAGTAAGCACTTCTCATCCACATTTTATCCAAATGGACTGATAAAAGGCTACTGATGACAACTAAATATGCAAAGCGAAAAACAAGAACAAGATCCAACTCACAGTTGTTGTCGTTATTGTATTTGGCTAGAACCTTTTCGCATATTTCCAGGCCGTCCAATCAGAAGCACGAAAACTAGTTTTTATCGAATACCTTCTTGATTGGCTATTGGTTGTATTTGTTGTAGCCTTTTCGCTGGCATCGTGCCGCGTATGAGTCTCCTCGCAGTTGGTGGATCGATCTTCCTCGGCCTCTACGACATAACAAAGAAGTTCTGGTTGAGGACCTCTGATCAGCGATAGTATTTCTCTCAACTAATCCCTTCCCCGTCTTTACCATGGAATTTGTACAAATAGTAGATTCTTCAGAAACAGATAAAATTTATGTCAACTGGGGCCAATTAATTCACCTTCTCAGGCAGATGGTAGGTACTGCAAGTCGTACATATAGTGAATTCCGCGTAAACTAGGGGACTGTCTGTGTGGGAAGTCTCGTGGTGCGTGCGTCCACTTGGCTTCGTGGCGATGGAAGTTTCGTCGTCTGTGAAGTGGACATAGCCCTTTCGGCTAACGCCACTTGGAAACCACACTGATTCGAGTAGCAGGGACTTAGTTCCAGTATTCTGCTATTTGTCCCACAGCATTCTGGTTTGGTGAAGCACTTGGTACTTTGTTGTGATGTACTGGTGTAGTTTCAGTCCTCAAGAACTAGGTTCTGTTTCTTGAGCTATGCCTCCTGAAAATTTGCCTGACGTCATGTCAGCGAGGTTTTCGAAGCTCTTCATGTCCGTGCAGCAACTCGGGACTGCTTGAGATGCGTCGTTAGTGGAACATTATCCACTTTGGATCACCAATTTACGCTCGATAAGTAAATTGGATATCAATAGGATGTATATGTCCACTAACGCCACACAGATACCCAGGGAAGCGTGATTTCATGATAGGTGACCATTTCGAAGCCGCTTATTCGGTTGCTCCAATAATTTGTGTATTTACTGGTCACGGACATGCACAGAGGTGATATGCATACACTGTTTTCTTAATTAACTGAGCTTTTGACTACGCAGGCGTTCAAGAACTATGTCTGACACTTGCTGCCACCTACCCACGCTGATATAAGACCAGCCAGGTCTTCGTGCAGAAAACTTTTAATGTTTCAACCATAGGTCTAGTGATCTGTCACGATGTACACACTCATATAGGTCAAGGATGACCTTGACCAAGTGGGTCAAGGCGGATTAACACCGAGGAGGCTCTCAGTGGGGTGCCGTGGGTGACCCACCCACTGAAGTTGTGTGGCAAGGGGAATTGCGTAAACAATTACGAAATCCTGACCCGTACTGAGCCCTAACACTATGACGACGTAGTGAGCAATGGTATGCATAGAGGGCGAAAAAACATCTCTAAAGAATGGTATCCTTGTGGTTTGCCAGAAAGCCTGCAATCTGCTAAAATCAGTCGACTTGGTACGATAACAGAAACCACGCTGGTGTCACGCACACCGCATCAGGGCCTGCGTGAGCGGCCTGGTGTTAAAAAAACAGAGATGCAAAAGCACTATGATCTCCGAACATGAGTTGTGAACGTCGCAATCACACGATGTCTTTCACAGAGGCGTCAGTTAGCGTCGTTTAACCCCCCTCATTGTGTTTACAAGGCTAATTAATTATTGATTTTTGCTGGCTGGACGTTGCAAACGATTGGTTGCTGGGATTTATGGCAGCTGTATTTATCGTGTCTATTTCGGTTCAGAAGTTTTCGCATTTTCTTAAATGTCTAATTTGACAAATCTTGCCTGATTAACGGTGAGTGTCTCAAAGTGACTATTCGGCGGGATTTTCTTCCGATCATGACATGATGCATTTATCTGTATTTGTAAACGACTCTTCATAAGGTTGTGCTTGGGTTACCCATAGTAGAGGGATATTAGATAGGAACCTTACAGCGTACTGCGCTTTGTGTGGACTCACGATACAACGTAAAGTATCCAAAGAGAAGTGGTGGTGGTGGTGGTGGTGGTGGTGGTGGTGGTGGTGGTGGTGGTGGTGGTGGTGGTGGTGGTGG